TATTACCGGCATCTGCAAGTGGTAGTTGCAGGAATTTGGCGTCTAAAACCATAATATTAGCTTCTGATGCACACGTTGCTAGCGGCTATTACCGCGTTTGAAATTTTTCATTGCTAGGGATTATTTCCTGTATTAATGACATTTGCCAGTGTTGGCAGCTGGAATATAGTGACTATAACCGTATCATCTACTCCCTCTCATGCTATTAGCAGCTATTTCCTGTGTTTGATAGTTGTCATGGCTAGCGGCTATTTCCTAAAAGTAGCGCTTTTAGCGATATGTGACTGTTTTGTGGGGTAGAATGTGGTGTCAACATCAGCTATTACCATGTTGCCGCTTCTAGTTCTGCTCGCTTTCTGTAGAAAATATATTTGTATTCCCGCGTTAGCGGCTATTTTTTAGTTGAATTTTTTTGTAATGAAGATAATGCAGTGATACATAAGACTAATGCATGGCACTATTTTGTCGATTCCGCTTTGGTTTGGCGTGCATGCGCAGTGTTGATGCCGATTCCCTTGATCAGATTTCTTGCCCCACCTCCACTGCTTCGGCTGCCATCGCTGTGTGCATTCCTGTGCTTTTTTGCCTGCACTTTCACCTTGATGGACCCGTTTGTGGCTATCTTGAAGAAAAAAAGGGTACATGCGCATGTACATGCATAATAGTATGCACACTATATTGTACGGTCACAATCCGTTCACTATTTTTTGCCTAGAAGTGTTTGATGCCGAGTTGCAACGCTGACGCCGAGGCCTCTAGTCGGTTGAGTTGCTTCCAGCACGTCGGTAGGTACGTCTTCCATACACACCCTGTGTGTTGTTTTTGTTGTTCGCTGCATATTTTCCAGTAGGGCGGTGTTAATAGTAAAAAGGAGAACAGAGAAAGAGAAGTTTAGGACTATTAGCTTGAGTCAGGCAATTGCTTTGATGTGTGTGGTGGTGTTCTTCTTCAGCATAAATTGCTACAAGTCGCGAACAGTGCATTTCAAGAAACTAACGCAAAAGTAAGCGCAAAACCAAGCGCAAAAAAAATCACGGTTCGCGTGAGACTCGGCCGAAGGCCCAGTTTTCCGCCATCCGCAGGAACGCCACCACCCTCTTGGGTGAAAAAAAGTTTTTAAAAAAAGTAAGTAAGTATTATAAAGTGAGCGCAAAACTTACCAGATTTACCACTAATACCCCATTTACCCCTAATAACGCATTCGCCCCTAATACACCATCTTCCGCTAATTTCCAATACTAAGAAAAATTTGGAAAAACCGGTGAGCCAGAACCATCCCCTTGTATTTCCAATACTTAGAAAATTTTCGAAAAAAAACAGGTGAGCCAGAACCATCCTCTTCTATACTACTCACTTGGTGGTGGGTCTGATCTACTCACCTCCCACCGTTTAGGCGCTGCATCTGCGCCTTTGATCCTAGAGGGTGGTGGCGTTCCCACGGCGGATGCGGAAAACTCGGCTTCCAGCCGAGTCTCACGCGAACCGTGAAAAAAAAAAAAAAGAGCATTATAGACCTTGTTGAAGCATTATCATCAGCATTTTTGAGGTAGTTTTTGGAGCATTATGATTAGCATTATACGAACACTTTCGGAGCATTATCCGCTGAACCCCATTCCTGAGTTTAGGGTTGAAATGCAGTCTTGATATGGTGAGTTTTGCTTATAGACTGGAGTTGGCTTGATAGTTGACAATTGAAAAAATTAGAGCCCAGTCTCCAATAATAGCCCAGTCTCTAATAGTAGAGTGGGTAGAGCTGTCACTAGGGTTGTGCGGATAATGCTCGAAAAGGTGGCCGATTCTTCTCGAAAAGCAGTGAAATTGGCAGAACCATACAAACCTTATGGCGGGCAATTCCTCGAATTATGCTCCATTTCTTTATCCACATACCAAACATGCATGAAACTTACCAGAAAAAGTACCGAATTCTGCCAATTTTTCTGCCGGCAATATCCGCATATGCCTAGCAGCGTTAGGCCTCGACTAAATATGCTAAAAAAAAGTGAGCTATGCTCGTCGCATATCAGGGAAAACGTCCATAATATGCCAAAGGCTTAGCAAGATATGCCAAAATACGCCAAAATATGCTCGACATACATTGTAAGCAGAAAGTGTACACCAGAGGAATGCATATCAGAACCAGTTAAGAAATGCCAAGACCCTGTACTTCAAGCGCCTCAGTGAGAATATTCACGATCAGCAAGATGCCCACCTTTGGTGGAAGAAAGCCAAGACACTTGCCAACATCTCCTGTAAGAAAGATAAAGTTCCTGACCTAACGTGTGAGGGCTACACGGCACAGAGCGAACCAGAGAAAGCAGAAATGCTCGCGAAGGTATTTGAGCGCCAGTGCACTCCTGCTCACGGTACAGGTCCAATACCAGCACCAGCCGACGACTGTCCGAATGAATTATTCTCTCTGCCAGTATTGGCCGAATCCTCAGTGTACCGGGTGCTCCGAAGGCTCCCGCAGCATAAGGCTACAGGCGGGAACATCTCGAACAGGATCCTCCGAGAGATCGCACCTTGTATAACGTCCTCTGTTACCAACCTGTTTAACGCTAGCCTCACCTTAGGTGAGTTTCCTAGTGCCTGGAAGCTGGGAACAGTAATCCCCATATTTAAAAATAAAGGTAACCCGTGTGATCCCTCCAACTACCGCCCTATAACCCTACTCCCAGCTATTGCGAAAGCACTAGACAAGATTGTCGCCACCAAATTCGGTCACTATCTCGAGGTCAACAACATCATTGTCCCGGAACAGTTCGGCTTTGTCCGTGATCGCTCCACAGTTGACCAGCTGATACAGCTCACTACTAAGATCGCATCGACCATGGATAAACGCATCCCTTACGATGCTGCATTTCTCGATTTCGCGAAGGCCTTCGATAAAGTGCCGCATGACGTGCTTCTCCAGCAACTCGGGACTATCTGCGATGCTCCGGCTACGAGTTGGTTTAAGAACTACCTCGATACGCGTACATTCAGCGTCCGCGTCCAACACCATATGTCCTCCCCACGTCCCGTCAAGTCTGGAGTACCCCAGGGTTCCCACCTCGGGCCATTGCTTTTCCTGGTACATATCAACAGCCTACCCAGAGCCTCGAAACGCAACCAGCACGCTGATGTTTACCTGTTCGCGGATGACACCGCCGTCGGCCAAGCACGAACCAAAGGTACCAGCCCAATGGAGACTGCCCTGCAGGACACATTTGCCTGGGCCGACCGAGTAGGCGGAACCTTCAACCCATCGAAAACCGTTGTTATCTCATTCGCTGAGGAAGGAGCTGCAGAGACCATCCGCGGTATCCAGCCGTCAACCAGTCACCGTCACCTGGGAGTGTTGTTGAGTGAAACACTTAGCTTCCAGGAGCATATTGAACAGACAATAAGCAAGTTTAGACAGCGCTGCGTTCTTCTGTGCCATATGGCTGACCGTTTAACAGGAGACATCGTCAGGAAGCTGTACCTTACGTATGTCCGCCCCACAGCAGAATACGCCGCCCCAGTATGGGAGTCCTCCCTCTCTGCTGCACAGCGGCTCACCCTTGAACGGCTGCAAGCCAGAGTAGCTCGCACAGTAATGCGGCTTGAGAGATGCCCTTGCCCATCAGACGAGCCCAAGTCATCATTGTTTAAACAGCTGGGGTGGCCAAGTCTATCCTGGCGCAGGAAGATCGCCTGCCTTATGGAATTCTTCCATTTGGTCACCACCCAACCAGAACTTTTTGAAGCAGCGGGATACTGCCCCACGCGTAGTCGCCGCCGCCAACTCGCATTCACTCTGCCACGGGTTGGGAAACACGCCGGGAGGTCATTTCTCTTCCGCACCGCTACTGTCTGGAATGCCTTGCCCGCAGACCTGAGAGCCACAGCCTCGCAGTCCCTGTTTCACAGTCACATTTGCACGCACTTCTCTGACACCAAACACAATGCCACTCCGCACTGACATGCCTCTGTCCTCCTTCTTTGTGCGTTGCGCTTATTCTTATTAATTTTTGTGTTTCTGTTTCGGTACATTTCGTATTTCAAGGCATACCCCGAGGCTATAGGTATCATTGATTAAAGGACCATTCTGGAACATTCAGCATAATTGTATTTCTCTTGCTAGGCTGTTCATTACGAATTATTAGCCCTCCACTGTCTGCTATCTCAACCCTACAGCCTCCCATTATAATGGAACTCCCTTCAATTTAGACTACGTCTTTGGGAAATCCTCAAATATATATAATAATAATAAATAAAATAACATGTACACATGTACATGTAGATCATTTCAGTAAAATTACAACCTTGGAATATTCACTGGCTTCACGGCTATCACGCTTGGTGCAAAACAAAACACATGCGGAATAGTATGGCTGGGGTGTGTCCCCAGCAACCGTAGCGATAGTGTTCATCCATGGGGAAAATTTCCCCATGGATGAACACTATCGCTACTAATGTAGCAAACGCCAGCTCAACCATTCCAAATTCATCCATAAAAGGCATTTCTGAACGGATTTTGTCCATAATACGAATGTTTTGTCCTCGTTTTCTTCAGAATATTTGAATTATATGCTGGCTTCATTCCAATATTCCCTTTGTCGCTCAATATGCCATAATGAGCTGTCTCACAAAGATGTGCGGAAATACATGTATGCGCAAGCATTTGGTCCAGGCGTAGCCTAGCTGTCACTGAAAAAAGAAGAACCCCAGGCACTTATTAGTACTAGAGAAAACACGGTGCCAGGAAAGATGCTGATTGGAGCTCCGGCCCTAGATTGATGGCACGTGAGCGAAATAATTCGCAGTGTCCTCCCGGTCCCGCGGCCCGGGATCCCAATGGCTATGAGTATGATCCTTGAGCCAAACATCGGCGGTTCCCATGGCACGCGCGCCGACGTGCGGATGAGATAAAGAGGCTAAAAGAGCACGAATCGATCGATCGCATTCACACTCCACGATCATCACGCACATAGTCATTGCGCAATGGGGCTGGCCGGGAGGTGACCAGGTGACTTTTGTTTTGAAGTGTTCGCACAGTCGCTAGTCGGTCGGACCACGTCGTTGTTGTCGGTACGCGATAGAAGTGGGCTGTGACCTGCAGCCTGGTGACGTTTTCTAGTGTTGTTTGTTGCTTTTGCACTTGACTTGGGGCTTGATTGGAATGGACTGATTTTCTATTTTTGAAAGCTAGTTACTAGTAGTAGTAGGTGAACATCTATCGGTGCTTTCACCTGTACTGGTACTGGACGAGCCCTTTAGTTTGAGAAAGAGCTGTTCCGCAGCACAGCTGCGATTGTAGAGTTTTTGCTTTGGAAGCCGATAGCAAAAACGGTCATATCAGTGGACAGATCATTGCCATCTACAGCTAGAGAGAAAGAGAAGTGCGTATGGAGACGACCAAGATTTGCAACAAGCGTCCTGGCGTGCAGCTGCCCTCTCTGAACGATGTGCAAGCGTGCGGCCGACGAATCGCTGGCGTGGTGAAGCGCACACCCGTAGTGCGCCTCGGCACCCATCTGGTGAAGTTGAACCATCAATCGGTGCGAGTCAGTCGACAAAAGGGTAGCGAGTGCTCCTCTGACTCTGCGTCCGTCAGTGATTCAATACGAGATGTGTCGGGTGAGATCGAAGTGTTTTTGAAACTGGAGAATGAGCAGCACTGCGGATCGGTGAAGTCCCGTTCGGCCGCTAGCTATTTGTCCGCTCTGGAGCAGCGCGCTGACGGAGACGATGCGCTGCGACGTGGTGTTGTAACGGCCAGTACGGGAAACTTCGGCCAGGTAAGCGAGTACGTGCGCGTGCTCGTTGGTGCGAGGATCATGATTGCAGAGCTAATAAAATTAGCTCCGTTCTGTTGTGTTTACCGGTGTTTGAGTATCCATACTGACCAACCACCACAATCTCAATCCCTTGACAAGACAATCAGAATCCCTGGATGGCACAAAAACAAGTGAAAAAGAGCTTTTTCCGCCCAAAAAAAGAGTTCGACCCTACACTACAGGTCTGCGTACAGCACACTTCGACCCTGCAGAGTGCAGTGCAGCTTGATCAGTCGGCGCCCGCCTGTCACTTTGTCAGTGCAGACCTTGCAGACTAGGCATGGTCAGATCTTGAAAGTGCTGTGCACAGTTCGAAGTGCGAATGAGCACCGTAAATACCTTTGAAAAAAAACAGGACATTCGGGGCGAATCCATGGAGTTTTCAGGAAAATCCTGTACCAGACAAAACTGTGGTTTTTCCGGGAGTTTGCTTGAAATCCCCGGGATCCCGGGAGGATTGTTGATTTCCCGGGATTTTCCCGGGAAAAACCGGAGGGTTAGCCGGTATGAGTATCATGCACGGTCAGCGCGAACATTTCTATTTTCATCACCCTGTCAGTCCCGTATCGCGTGTACCAAGATAGTGTTGTATCCAGGCAGTGGCAGTGGCAGTGGCCCCTCGGAAACGGACTATTCTGTCACACCTACATAACTGTACACTAAGGTAAAGCCTTGGAAGTGAACTGTACAGTGTCATGTACATTTTGCGTACAACAGGGGTGTTGGAAGGTATTTTAGTGTGGTACTACTGTTAGCCATCTGAAGTACAATTTGCTCGTGGGAGAGGGGTTGCTGAGCCGAAAATGTTGGAAGTAACTTAGAGCCCAGATCAGTGTATTATTTTTATTGATTTGCGGGGTAAAAAAAAGAGAGTAAATTACGGTGTTCGTTCCCCGAAGGGAACTCACGACAGCCGCTAACACCCGGTAAACCCTCGTGGGGTACCGGGGCAAAACAGGGTACAGCCTATACGGTAATAACCACACAGTGTCAGATACCCTGCACAACCATGTAGATATCTGCAGTGTTGCACGACGAAATCCAGTCGTGTCACTCAAGTACGCACCGGGCACTGCGCGGCCCCAGGCCTGTGAAACGGTGCAAGGCGCAAACGTGAGCGCCGCGACTGGATTTCATTGAGCACAGTGCTGTACGTAGTCATTACACACTACATGCAGAGCCTTGGTCATAGAAATCCAACCTCATGAATAATAGCGTGAAGGGGGGGGGGGGGGGGCTATGCTGACCTGCACTATAGTAGGGATGTCAGGGAACGCACTGCGCAGGCCTCAGCGCATGCATTGCGTCATCGATTTTTTGAACGTGATCGCGGCCGACAGAGAAAACATGGCCGCGGTCTGTTTGCACCGCTGGGAGTCGTAAAATTACTGTTCTTCTGTCCCCGCGACCATTCAAATCATACGCGATACGGAGGACCCACGTGCTGACCACGTTCTCCCCGGTCGATTTCTCTGAAAGTTTGCACATCGTGAAACACCAGTATGAGAGGTGTTCAGGCCAATTTTCAAGGGATTACCCTGGTTGGATCGTTTCAAAATCGGACTTGCATTTCTCGCTCGCGGCCATTTCTTGCGCGATGGAAGCGCCCTGCCCTGGTGAGTAACCAGCGTCGCGCTTGGTAGAGAGTTGCTGCAATCAGCTCCCTGATGTCTTCGCTGCCATTGTCAGAAGCGATGGACCATGAATTTGTTTGAGAGTCTCTGGATGCTACTTTTCCTCAGCCTAGTTTTCAGCCATTCCGTGCATCTTCTTCGCACGATTTATTTTGCAAAAAAATGAAAGTGTTCATGAGTTTTCTTGTCGACGGCGCGTGGATGGGCCAGGCTGACCTGCGCAGATGGGCTGCGCAGTGCGTTCGCTGATATCCCTAACTATAGCACCACTCACAACACTCTGCTGCCATCAGTGCGGCGCTACTGTATTCACGAGGTATTTCTCCAGCCAGAACTGTACACAGCAGTCATTGTGTATAATAGCTATCAATGTTTCCATGAACGCTCATTGCACCGGGAATGACGGAGCACGTTCCCGACATATCACATCAGCCGTGCGTGCACATACATTGCGTGTACGTACTGTCGGGGACGTTGAAATCCGTTGGAGAGTCAAGCGGCCACAGGGCGCTGGCCTTGCAGCCCCAAGCACTGATGGTCCATGTTCACAGTGGTGACGTAAACTACGCTGAGTTTACCAGGTGTTACCGGCCGCCGTGAGTTCCATTCGAGAGCGGACACAATAATTGCTTACGTAAACTTCAGTGCATGCAACTTCTAAAAGCAGTAAGGGCGCCGCTCCTGGTCATCCCGTCGGACCTCAATGTCCACAATAGAATCGTGTGTGAAGTAGCGTTGAGGCTGTTACACAACTGCTGGCAGGAGTCGCTGAGCAGGGTTGCAAGCAACGTAGGAGTGAAGCAATCATGACATGTATTAGTGACTTCACTCCGTATGTTCATCATACTTGGCACTCACTAGCGGTTGAAACGTGTGCTTTATCAAGTAGTGGGAAAGATCTTCAGCCACTACCAAGCGGGAAAAGCAGGAAAGTGTTCCGTTTGCCTGCCCCTCTTCTTCATTCGCCCTGCCCCTGACCCGCCCCTAACCCGCCCCTGACCCGTCTCTTTTTCTCTCTCATTGTCTCTTTATTCCCGTAGCTATGCAGAAGACGTTACTTCAGTAACGTCTGGCGCTAGCCAGGGTCCACACAGCTTTAATTTGGTGTTTGTTTGTTTGTTTGTGTCACGCCTGGCGCTATCCCGTATCTGTCCCGTACTGTACCGTACCAGCAAAGACAGCTGGCCACAATATTTTTGTTTGTTTGTGCCATCGACATGCCTGGCGCTATCCCGTACCTGTCCCGTACCATCAAGAGTACGGTACCATCAAGAGAATGAGTATATATGCGAAGTGTATCGGGGGAATGCATTCAGTGTAGTAACATTTTGTGTGGATTTGTGTGCAAGGCCGAGATCCCACTAGCAGGCTGGCTGGGCCGCCTGTCGACCAGCCCGGGAATCGCATGTAGGCCGATAGCATAATAATTATAACGTATATACAGTCATGTAGATGTATAGCAGGGAGTCATATTATGTAAACGACTCCCTGCTGTATGGGGAGATTTTCTGGAAAGGAATACGAAGTAGGGAGACGAGTAAATGCAATCAGAATGGATGTTAGTTGCCGTAAGTATAATAATAATAAGAAGAAGAAGAAGAACGCCCGTGATCGGCAGAGTCAGCGCCGGTCCCAGGAAACGTCAGGACAGACATCCCGTCGACTCCAGAACGCCCGTGATCGGCAGAGTCAGCGCCGGTCCCATAGCTATGCAGAAGACGTTACTTCAGTATCTCATTGAAACGTTTTTGCAATATAATGATGTAGCTAATCAAAGGAAAAAGCATTTCCATCAGTTCGAACAACATGCACGATGAGCTAGGCAACAAAGCATAGCGCAGGACCCTGAGCTTCCAAGCTCTCTTTTCTCTCTCTCTCTCTCTCTGTGCCTGTCTCGGTGTGCATGTGTACTGTGTGTATGTGTGTGTGTGTGTCTCTCTCTTTCTCTCTCTCTCTCTATCTCTATCTATCTCTCTCTCTCTCTATCTATCTCTCTCTCTCTCTCTCTCTCTCTCTCTCTCTCTCTCTCTCTCTCTCTCTCTCTCTCCGTGTTCACAGAGCCTGGCATGGCTGACCAAGAAGAAGAATATCAGATGTGCGGTCGTTGTACCGGACTTCACTGACGCCTATCGTCGCGCACTCATAAAGTCTGCTGGCGCTGACCTTGTCATCGATGTACCGTTCCACGAGTGGTGGCAATGCGTAGAGCTGGCAACACTGTGCCCGTCTGTGGCTGCACGCCATCCGGAAATCGCCGACATGCACTTTGTGTCGCAAGTCTCGCCAGAGTGCATTGCCGGCGACGCGACCGTGGCTGACGAGATCTTCGCCGACGTGAACAACATCGACGCCGTCGTCGTTCCCTACGGCTTCGGCAGCTTCAGCTGCGGCACCGGGGTGGTCGCCAAGCAACGGTCGCGGGGCACGCGCGTCGTAGCCGTGGAGATTGAGACCAGCTCGCCGTTCCGCAACGCACTGGTGGCCGGAAAGCCGTACCGGTGCACACACACGCCGAGTTTCGTCAGTCAACTGGGCGGGCAGATGGCACTGCCAACCATATGGGATCAGGTGTGTCTTGCTTGAATTATATTACTGTAAGCCTTCGAATTTTGGCGTGTATTTATTTTCGGCCTCATCATATTATTTTCAGTGATGCACACGAACCCATTTTTCACGAACGAATACTCTATCGAATACCTAATCTTCGAACGAACGAACGGATATTCTAGTATTCGTTGAAATTTGTTGACGGCCCAGAAACTTCTGCAGTGCGTGTGCGCTTTTCGCCTTGGACACTTTCGCACCCGTGGCAGCTACAGCCGTCGAGCAGGAAACATGCCGCCGGGTAAGATGTTCCCGCATTGAGCTCGTAGTCGAGCCATTGAAGTTGAGCTTCGTCTCGCAGAGTTTGCAAATTGCGTACAATTTACACTGGAACTAGAACAGGATCACTCGGAACACGCGGGTTCGGCTGGTCTGCACGGGATCTCGAGCGCACGGAGCATGTTCTGGCTACTCCAGGCCTTGAGGTAGAGAACGCAGAGCAATTTCTTTTGCTGCTTACCTTTTCGTTTAGGATTTCTGACATCATTTGTTTTTTAATTTTCCGCGAAATCGAATAACGATGAGCTCAGGATGAACTCAGGCGCCATGATTTCCATGTCAGCGTCACGAAAACTGCTCTGCATGCTCCATCGCGTTCGTCTGGAAACAAATCGCTTGCACTGCTCCGTTTGCTTGCTCTACTCTCAGAGCAGTGCAATTTGTACTGCTCCATGTGCTTGCTCTACGCTCAGAGCAGTGCAATTTGTACTGCTCCATGTGCTTACTCTGCTCTCAGAGCAGTGCAATTTGTACTGCTCCATGTGCTTACTCTGCTCTCAGAGCTGTGCAATTTGTACTGCTCCATGTGCTTATTCTGCTCTCAGAGCAGTGCAATGTGTACTGCTCCATGTGCTTACTCTGCTCTCAGAGCTGTGTAATTTGTACTGCTCCATGTGCTTACTCTGCTCTCAGAGCTGTGCAATTTGTACTGCTCCATGTGCTTGCTCTGCTCTCAGAGCAGTGCAATTTGTACTGCTCCATGTGCTTACTCTGCTCTCAGAGCTATGCCATTTGTACTGCTCCATGTGCTTGCTCTACTCTCAGAGCAGTGCAATTTGTACTGCTCCATGTTCTTACTCTACTCTCAGAGCAGTGCAATTTGTACTGCTCCATGTGCTTACTCTGCTCTCAGAGCAGTGCAATTTGTACCGGACAAACGCGTCCCAATTTTCGGCCTCCCGGGCTAAAACACATTTCGGCCGCGTTAAAATGTGTGTTGTATCTGGCTTGAAAATGTTGAGTTTTGGAGAGAAAAAAGAGCGGTACGAGGCAGTGGCCCAATTGTAATAGAGAGGTTCTGCACTACGTAAAGTTGAGCAACGTTACGTTAGTGGGCGGGAAAAACCCGTGAATTCGAGAGTTTGCACTCCACTTACGGAAAGCTGTCTACGTAGAGTACATAGATAGGGCTCTGATAACGTAGCTGGTCCGTAAGTGGATTGGGGTACAAATTTATGACTCGCCCCAGTTCGATCCGGTCGTACACTGCCGCGTTTGGAGTTGCCAAGGGCAGCTACGTGATTTGAAAACTCCGTATGGCGGAGCACAGATGCACATGCAGTTTACGTAAGACTTTCCGTAGATCGACTACGTTTTTTACTAGCTTAATTACGTCATGCGGAACCTCTCTAGTACTGGGTATTTTTGGCCTAACATTTGGTGCGGACAACATTTTTGTTTTGCGAAGTTCAGTGTGGCAGTGTACACATGCAGCTGTAGTACAGGCTGAAACGGAACGAAATCTATAACCAGGGACCGTTATGGAAGTCTCGATTGCAAAGTTGATGAAATCCGCCTGTAGGAACTCAGATGGTGAGCCAAGGAAAACATATTGTAGCATGGAAATTGCGGGCACAAGCTTTGTGCTGGATTGCGCACGTCTGACTGTTCAAAATCTGGTTTAGTTGGTGGACTCGATCGCATAACTTGTGCCCACAATTTCCATGTTTCAAGTCCGCCTGTATTTGTATTTTGTTTCCTTGCGCGGCAGATCAACTCTGAGAATGGTCTGATCACGGACTCGGCTGTGGTGCAGCTGGAGCAGGTGGCCGAGGCCATGCGCGTGCTGAAGCGTAACCATGACATCGTTGCTGAGGGCTCCGGTGCCGCCTCACTGGCCGCCGTGCTGTCGGGCCAGGCGGGCAGGGGACGCGTGGTGTGCGTCATCACCGGCGGCAACGTGGAACGCGACATGATGGCCGACATCATGACCGGGGGACTTCCCCCCGCGGGACTGCCCATCCCGCCCGCGATCGGGGGACTTCCCCCCGCTGGAATGCCCATCCCGCACGTGATGTCGTCGTCAGCTCTGATCTGGGAGCCCAGCGAGGACACTGACGACAGGAACAAAGCAATGACATCAGCCACTAGTCAAACTGCAGCCTCAATATCTAGTAACAATGCCCAGCCTGTTCCAGAAGTCGCAAGCTGATGACCGTAATTGTGTCATGTGTGCAGACGAACTACAACAAGTTGAGACAAGTGTGTCTACCAATATTATTGATGATGGCTTTGCACCTGTTAGACTCAGATGGACCAGTCAACATGCATACACGATTGAACGTTAACGTGTCGTACAGTCGGCTGTGGGCCAGACATTGGCTGCACATGAGTAGTTCTACGATGACCTGCACATATACGTCGAACAGGCTGCTGCACTTGAGTTGTTACATGCGCGTCGTTTCTGCTGAGCCCGAGTGCATGCGCTGCTGCGCCGCTGTGCGCGACCAGTAAAGGGCAGAATGCCCGACGGAGAAGCGCTCTGACGCGCTACGCAACCTTTACCCACGTGTTCTCCTTTTCAAGTCTCAGTACCGGTACTTTAGCCCTAGAACTACCGGAGGCATCATACGATGTACTAATGACGGGTTCCAGAAAGAACAGTTGATCTAGTGCCACCCGGTTAGTTTACTTTTACGACTATTTTAAATTAAGAGTTCACTGCAGACGTTCTGTAGTTGTATACGCAATCACGATTCTCTTTACTCTACTACATGTTCTTAACCTGTGAGCCTTCTAGCTAATTCGTGTAGCCTAGCAACACCTCGCTGGATTTTTTTCTCGCTGGATCAATACAGAGAATACTACCATGTTGCAATGCCTTGCAGAGATGCGCTCTGATGTGCTACGCAGCACTAGTCACTATGCACTCGTTTTTCGTTCTCAAGACGTATTTACTTACCGGTATTACTATTAAAGGGGTTCCAGAAAGAACAGTTGATTAATCTAGTGCTGCCCGGCTGGTTGGTTGGACTGCTAACACACACAAAGCCACGCATGCACACACACACACACACACACACACACACACACACACACACACACACACACAAAAATGTGCGCGCGCGTGCCCTTTGTTTCTTGCTCTCGTATGATACCCGCCAAACGCTTCCTGGACATTTACCCTTCCTTATCTTTTAGGTGGCAACAGGGGGGGGGGGGGGGGGGGGGATATTTCTCTGCATTTCCAAGGTCAATAAAATGCTTTAAGAGATTCCGATCACGGCAATGCCATTATGCACACAGTGGGTGCATAGACACAGTGGCAGCGTGCACAACTACTGTACTATCATGCTGCATACCTGACATTTCAAGATAAAAGTCATGTAGATCTTAGACCTACAATGCATGACGTGAAAAGTAAATACTAGTACTATAGTCGACCTACCCTTATAACGATAACCTCTATAACGATATTACCCTTATAACAATATTTTTCTGCCAAACCAAATCACTCCATTGACTTTTGTATACAATGCCTTACCTCTATAACAATATCGCTATAACGATATTACCCCTATAACAATATAAAATGGGCTGACCAATCGACATTTTCCATTTTATAACAATATCCAGCAGGGAGCATGTAGAGTCCACTGTCAAGGTAGGGCAAGCTTCACTTGATAAGTCGCTGGGACATGACGAAATGCAATGGGGGCACCAGTGGGCACCTTGCTGCGTAAATAAAGTGCATGTACATAATGTTTTTGACGCTAGGAAGAGTGTAAAAAATGAACTAAATTCATGCATTATGACGTACATGTATGTGATGAACCAGTTACCCCTATAACAATATTACCCTTATAACAATATTTCTTGGTCGGACGCAAATAATAAATATCGTTATAAGGGTAGGTCGACTGTACTACTAGTAGGGAGTTCAGTTCCGGTCACTGAAAAGCGAAAAGTGCAGTCACAGCTCGCCTGTACAAAGTGAATGGGCGCCTCGTGACTGCAGTTCGAGATGCAGTTCGCGGCCCGAGTATCTTCTCCCGCGGCATTTTCGGCCTTGTCAATGCTATTTTTAGGAAGCCGAGGTCATTACCTTTCCAATGGTGCCACACATGCCGTGCTTCCAAAAATAATGGCTCCGCGCTTGGCGCGGGTGCACTTCGAAGTACTAATTTCGACCAGATCCGTACTCGGCTTCGCGAGGAACACCCGATTTTCGTGTTCAGCGGCCTCGAATTAGCCTAAACCAAGAGGATTCTACAACATTGAGGCTTGCGCTTTATCGCCGTAGAAGGAAAATGATCACAGAAACCAGCCCACGGCGATTTCCTGGTGGTAGACGAAAAAATCGAGTGAACTGCGCGCACACTGGTAAAAGCAGTGACGGTGAAAACGTGTGACTTGTGCAAGTCGGCGCGCACGGCATGCGTGCACACTTCATGCATGCACACATCCTGTGTCGCCATGTATGCACCAGATAGTGCAGTGCTGGACGGAAACCACACGGCTCACATACATACTTGCATTTACTTCTGTGACTACTTTCTCCCCCGTTTTCCGATCTTCAATCGACTATAACTCTAGATTGCCTTGGAATTTTGGGTTCAAATTTTCACAGGTTGTTTCTCGATTCTTCCCGGTTTAGAAAAACTAGCGTTTTATGCAAAACTCGCGAATTTGATTTTTCAATTGAAGTCCCTACTACTAGTACTACATGACACTCAACACGATTGATTTGTAGACCTACCTACTGGCACTGCCAGCACTGGTCCGTCATCAGTGGCCACTCACTCTACTACGGTCATGCACAGGTCAGTGCTGGCAACTGAAATCCGACCCCTGAGCGGTGCGCTCACATCGCAAAGACCCGAAATAGAGGCCGCTAGAAAGTGAACGCGCCGCCCAGGGGTCGGATTTCATTTGCCAGCACTGGAGTATAGTAGTACTAGTAGTACATCAAGAGTTCATAACCATGATAACCCCCTGGGGGTTATGAACTCTTGAGTACAATCATGTACTATTAGTACTGCGCAACTAAAGACTAGTCTTATTACTACTAGTAGGCACTTCAGGCGGTTTTTTCAAAACCAGAAATACTCGTATTTCTTTCTTGTATCCGATTCAGATAGGTTTATGAAGACTCCACAGAAAATTTGAAGCAAAAAGAATAACTTGGCACAGAGATATAGCCATCCAAAGTCGGAGAATTGAATAACGGCAATTTCAGTATTTCGACGGCACCAGCAGCATATCAGAAATTGGTAGGACTTGCTTCAGTGTCTATAGTGGCAAAACACCAGGCTCGCTGGAAGCAGGTCAAAATAATCAGATGAATGCAGAAACAGCATGGTTTGGAAAAACTTCGCATTTTTCATCCGTCCAGCAGCTCAGACGAAGATATCGGGTGTGGTCACCATGGCAACTCCATAGCAACTCCATCGCAACAGCATGAAAACAGTGCAGAGAAGCCTTTGGAAAAGCATAAGATGAGACTTTGAGGTAAGATAAAGTAACTACAATAATTCAGTGCCAGAACACATTGTTGCTACATGTACAGTACTGAAGTGGTGACGAATACGGAAGAACAATGAGCCGAAGACTGAGCAAACTAGAATTTTACCGAGTATTTGACGGAAAGAAATGACAAACTATTACATGTAGAACATCGTTTGCAAATGTTTGGGACTACTGAAACTTCAGCAACTCCAGCATGAGAGATTTTGTGCATAGAGTGTGTGCTGGATTCTTGGTATAATATCACCGTCAATGCTTTTCTTGGTCGCTGGAAGCCACCTGCTGATCAGCTGACGATTTGTTCCAAGCAGGCCGTTTTGATGTCAGCTCTCTTGGTCCAGTCGCCGAAGTATATACATGTACTGTCCTACTCGTCGCCTGCAGGAGAGGACGACTGCTCCGATGCGACTCCAATATAATTATAACACCTGGCAATATTTCTTCTTGCGCAGCCATGCGCATGGGCTCCGACGAACAAGGACTACTGCCGGGAGGACGCCTGTCGCGGCTCGCTTTCAATAACACCTCGCATTATTTCTTCTTGCGCAGCAATGCGCAAAGTGTTGGACAAACGAGGACAACTGATTCCGAAAGGAAATACGACGCTGAAGACGATGAGCTACATGGCAAATGCGTGCAATCAAGTGAAATGCCCGAAAAATCCTTGCCGATTTTACTCGAACTGTACGTGAGTTCAAAAAATTGCCGCATCATGACGTATGTGGGCTCAAACGAAAGCTGAGGGCCTCAGCTACACGCTGCGCCACACGAGAAGGCCCTGCGCAGCTTCCGTGCAGCTAGAGATCGATCTATGCATGCGCCTTTCCGCGGTGCCACGCATGTACGCGATTCAGCGTTAGCACTTTTTGACAGGTCGTGTCACGTGACTGAAGTGCCTACTACTAGCTTGTTCTGCTCACGCCCGGTCACCATGGTCACGGAGTCACCGGTGCCGATGGGTAGATTACTAGTAGTAGAACTAGAACAACTACATGTACCTGTACCGCACGAACCACATCGACATGATTGTGTGTATGGGTGTGTGTGTGGGGGGTGGAGGGGGTTGGACGAAGCCAAGAGTCGTCCCCGAGACTGCCAAAGAAGGCCGGCATCGTATCGGCCGCACTGATTATGATTTCAACGGTGTGTTGTAAATAATTGCAAAACAGCAAGTCTTTTGTTCCTGGTTTGGAATTTGGAATGACCCTTGCCTAGGATTGCAGACATGGCTGGCCAGGAAAGGCAGCTTGCTTTGCTGTCCCTGTTTGCCGTCGTTCTCTCGCTGAACGCTGATCTAGCCACTGCCACGGCTGATAGCGACACAGTCCGTCCACAATGGGATGACAATGGGTCGTCCGGTGATTTCAAGAACGTGCTCTACTTGATTGTGGACGATTTGCGCCCGCAGATGACGGTCTACAACCAGTCGACCATGAAGACACCCAACTTCCAGCGCCTGGCCGAAAAGGGCCTGGTGTTCGAGAGGGCCTACTGCCAAGTTGCAGTGTGCGTTCCGAGTCGGAATAGCTTCATGAGCGGCAGAAGACCTGACACCACCAAAGTCTGGTCGGGCATGGCGCACAGTTTCCGTGACACTGGCCCCGACTGGATCACGATGCCGGAGCACTTCAAGAAGCACGGCTTCATCGCGCTGGGAGGCGGGAAAACCTACCATCCGAACTCGCCCCCGAACTGGGACGAGCCGAAATCCTGGTCCCAGGACCTGCCCTACTTCTCATTCAAAGGGTCAAAGTGCCCGAACGGCACCCTTCAGCAGGAGGCACACATTGGCGAGTCTGGACAGGTCACAGGAATCGACACGTGGTGTGCCCTGGACGAGAGCGAGTATCCGTACAGCTATCACTATGACAACCAGCTGGCCAATCACACGGTGTCGGTGCTCAAGTATGTGAAGGAGAAAAAGGAGCCGTTCTTCGTCGCGGCCGGTTTCCGCCGCCCGCACGTGCCCTGGAAGGTGCCGAAGACGTTCTGGGACATGTACGGCGACCAGGGAGATGTGCCGACCCCGCTGCACGTGCAACGTCCGCTCAACGCGCCCGACATTGCGTTCCACAACCAGGGCGTGTTCAACAACACCGACAAGCGCAAGTACCTGCCCATGCCCACGCCCATGCCCAAGGCGATACAGCAGGCGGCGAGACGCGCCTACTTTGCCAGCGTATCCTGGACGGACTACAACGTGGGGCTGGTGTTGGCGGCGCTGGACGACCTCGGCCTGGCCAACAACACCCTGGTGGTGCTGCACGGTGACCATGGTTACCAGCTCGGCGAGCACGACTCCTGGCACAAGCAGACCAACTGGGAGCTGGCCACGCGCGTGCCGCTCATCGTGCGGGCAAAGTGGAAACCGCGGTCGCTAGGGCGGCGAACGTACGCCCTGGTGGAGCTGGTGGACATGTACCGGACGGTGGCCGAGCTGGCCGGGACCAACAAACCCAGCAGCGACGTCAACGGCACGAGCTTTGCGCCGCTCTTTGACAGCCCGGGCATGGCGTCGTCGCAGTTGTCCGCGGCAACCGGCAAAACGGGTTCGGCGGCGGCTGCGGGGGCGGCGTTCAGTCAGTACCTGAGATGCGTGAATAACCTGACGGCGCAGTGGGCCGACAACTGGTGCAGTGGTCACGACAACCGTACGCTGATGGGCTACTCGCTGAGAACGGACGTGTGGCGCTACACGGCCTGGATGCCATGGCAACGCACAGCGCCGCAGGTCGACTGGGCTAGAGGGCCGGACCACGTGGAGCTGTATGACCATAGCGGTGACCAGTGGCTGGAGAACGATTTCGATCACTTTGAGAACGAGAATGTCGCTGCTTCGGCATCACATGCCAGTGTCATCACAGAACTGCATGCGATACTACGCGAGTTCTTCTCGGAAGAGTGACAACATGTTAGTTCTGTCTGGTCATAACGCTGCAAGAGCCATTTTAATACGATGGAATTTCGTCAATAGCAAACAAGTCTTGCGAGCTGGACCCGTCGATCAAGGCATCTGTCACAGGGCATACAATGATGGAGCCAATGCCATGATCACAATGTAGTACGACTCGTAGTGGACGTACCCTCGTTTACATGTTGTGTGTTTGCCGGACTGAAGATGTGTTTCTGTGAAGCGAGGGAAAACCATGCATGCATGGGCAGTGTCACTAAAATCCGTTCCTAAAAATTAACGGTTTTCACTGATTTGAGGTAAAGACGCAAACGCGAAAAGTCTGAAGAAAAATTGACTGCCACCGTGTACCACCAGGACTCGAACCAGGGACCCTCGCTTGAGGCCACAGCGATGCTCTACCCCCACCACTGAGCTTGGGTGTATAATTATTTATTTATTGGATGTTGGCAACTGTTACTTGGCATGTAGACAAACACACGTAGAGCTATGCTGTATTCTGTATGATGCCTAAACGACTGGCCACACACCTAAAGAAAAAAAAGTATCCCTTCGACCGGATGATGTTGCAAGGAAGAGAAGTGAGCCAAAACAACGAGGAGTGGCCTCTAATCTTATTTACGGGCAGACCCTGGTGGAACAGTTAATCGGATACAGTAGAGTCGTGCGCTGAAGAACGTGGAGCCCAAGAACGTCTAGCCTGAAATTCTAAGGACGCCACAGCCTAAAGCTAAGAACGTCGGTGTTTTTTTTCTTGCATCTTGTGGGATACAGATGATCCAGTTCGGACTATTTCTAAGAACGTGCTATAAGAACGCAGCCAGATTGCTGAAAAATAAGAACGTCCCAGGCTAACCCTAGAGAAAGAAACAACGTTCTTGGGCGCGCGACTCTACTGTACTGTAAAGTTCCGTATATACGCCCACTCGAAATAACGCCCATCGAATCGACATCCACACGTACACTCAAAGCCCATGCCCGAAAACCGCCCAGGGTGATGCTGCACCTGGGTATGCGTATGTGTGCAAGATGTTATGCATGCAGCTTACGAAAACGCAAGCGATGCAATATGCACCTTGTATAGGCCCAGTCCTGAAATAACGCCCATGCCCAAGTATACGCCCAGTTTTCAGACCCTTGTTCTGTTTATGCCCGGGGCTTATTTACGGAACTTTACGGTAGGCCGAGAGGACACCTGGAATTCTTCTCACTCCTATTTTCTTGTTTGGCAGTCAAAATAGAACACCAAACACAATGCAAGTTGGCCAACAGTTACAACATTTCTTTCCCACTTGGATTCTCTTTCTTCCATAGTGTAAACAGTGAAATTAATGTACTCTATTCGTGGGACTGGCGGCACGCCACCGCGAGCTGCCACCAGCAATGAGAAGGGAAATGGAAGCATAACGGGGGAAAGCACGGCGCTGGGGTAGACACCGGCCGGCCCAGCCACAACGCGCCTGCAGCGGAAATACAGGATAAAGGCGACAACGACCAAAGAAAGAAAACGAAGAGGGGCAGGCCGGCCCAGCCACAACGCGCCTGCAGCGGAAATACAGGATAAAGGCGACAACGACCAAAGAAAGAAAACGAAGAGGGGCAGACAGGATTCCTAAGTGAGAAAAAAATACTTAGGCTAGCCTCAGGAGCCTTTGAGAGAGAGAGAGAGCTAATGCAACGCAGAGATGAGTATTCAAGGAGCAGCGAAACAAAGAGGGGAAGAGAGAACGCCAAACAAACAGCAGGCAAGCAGATACAAAAAGGAAAAGAAAAAGGAAAAAAAGGAAGTTATTACTAAGGATGTAGTCAGAGCAGAGGTCAATGAGAGCCAGAGATGGCAAACACATGCACACACACATTTTCACTAGTACGCACAACTAGGAATACTGGTCCAACGAAAGGGATGCACAACATCATCGGCAACTTCAACGCTGTCCGCCGCAAAGCCCTGCGGTTAAAGAGGTTAGTGGGATTATACATGCAGCGCTAAGTATTGTAATACGGTGCCAAAATAAGATCAATTATTCATCGCAAGAGCGCACATCGCCGAGCAGATTAATATCAAGTAATAAGAAGACACAATTGCGTGAAATCTACATCGATGCCGATGTCAAAGGATAGGTTTTCCGTAAACGAAACGTCCTCGAAACACAACGACTGTGAGTGGGGTGCTGTCTCAAAGGGGAGGTAATTGCCCGCGAGCATCGGGGGTGGGGTTCATCAGGAGTCGAACGTGACTGTCGAGTCGGCTCAGTGCGTGTCGGTGATGCAAGGTCAAGGAGAGGGGGATATAAACCTGCAAAGCCCCGGCAGGGTGAATGCTACTTGTACGCTACGCCGGGGGGGAAAGAAAGAGAAACGTGGAAATGAATCTAGGAAAGCGATCTAGAATCACCAATGCCTGCTACGGTGGGTGCAGACAGTGACCCCCGTGCATCTATGCACACTAAACAGGGCGAGGCAAAGTGCGTGATTACGGATAAGCAAGCGAATACTAACACAAACCATTAATACAGGGAGGAAAGGACAATGGAAAACAAATCTCTCAAGGGAGTGCGCCAAACAGCACAAGATAATTCGAAATTTCATCTACACGGACGGATGCACACAGGCGCACGCATACACGCGCACACACACACACGCACACACGTATCAGGCGCTGCCAGCTAGTGGACACCGCCACCGCTGGCATAGCTCGCCTGGAGCGGGAGCAGGAAGAAGAGAGAGTAGTAAATCACAATAAGTTAGATAGGTGCCCTTGCTATCAAGTGAACCTCCGCAGTTATTCTCAGTGTTGTCAAAGACGACAACGCGGTGTTGCTGCTGCTGTGCATTCCATTCTCATACTCTCTCAAATCAAGCCGAACTGCTGCTCGAGTTGATTCTCAGCGTTGTCGACGACGATGGTGCTGCTGTGCAGTCCATATTTGTACTCTCTCAAATCAAGTCTAATTGCTGCTTGGGTTGCAGTACGAACTGCTGCTGTGCACTCCTTGCTCGTACTCTCTCAAATCAAGCCTGATTTGCGGTTCACGTCACGGCACGGACACACACACGCGCGCGCACACAGCCATAGGTCTACTACTTGTGCCTGAACAGCTTGCGTGGTATGTTGGGTGAGGACTCCTTCTGCTGGGCCTGTGACGAGGAGGAGGCCGACGCCGGTGGTGTCGGGTTCATGCTAGGCAGGTTGGACGTCGACCCACCACCAACACCGGCCGAGGCATTGGAATGGCCTCGGTGATGGCCCTTGATGAACACCGGCGGCTCCTGGAGCTTGTTAGTGGGCAGCTTGTCCTCGATCAACAACACATCCAAGTCAAGCTCCAACAGGAATACGAACACGCCAACCTACAGCAAGGCAAACACATACACAAACACGGTTTTGAATGCATATGGGAGTACAATGGATATATTTCTTTGATGTAGCAATTTCCGGGAGTGCACACCGAAATGTTATCGAGAGGAGAGAGGGAGAGGAGAGAAAGAGAGAGAGAACTTCTAACTGTAGAACAGATATGATCATAGGCTTGGCCAGTAAACACATGCCAAATGACATTACAACACACACCAGTACTAGAGTTACCGTAGTGCCCCTCCGACAGCAATACCCGACAAGAAACGAGGGAAAGCTTTCAAAGAAACACCGGTTACAGAGATGTCTGAAAACGGAGAGATAGATAGATAGAGAGAGAGAGAGAGAGAGAGAGAGAGAGAGAGGAGGGGGGGGGGGGGGGATTGAGGACGATTGAAAGATAGAGACAGTGCATCAGTGAGAGATAGATAGAGAAAGAGACATACATAAAGGACTGAAAAGAGACACAGACATCACTAAAGTTTAGGACATTTACCTGAGAGACAACATCCAAAGCGGCGGAGACATCCTGCTCTTCCGTCTTGGTGTCCGGTTTGAACAGGTTAGGGCCGAACACAGTGGACAGGTTCTGATTATTCATCTTGTTCTCTGAGCTTTGGCTACTGACACTGTGTTGTTGAGCGGGCATACAACAACAACAACAAAACAACAGCACCAACAACAACAACAACCATGAGAATAAAAAAAAGATTTCAACAACAACAACAACAACAATAACAGGTGAGCAAGGGAGAAAATAGGGGAAAGTATGAGACTGGGAGAGGGGATGGGCGTAGAGAGAGAGAGGGAGGGAGAGAGAGGGAGGGAGAGAGAGAGAGAGAGGCGTGATAGCAGAATGAGTGACCACTGCTAGACGTGTCAGAAGTTGAGGGGGGGGGGGGGGGCATAGACACAGACAAACACCACTGCGCGGGGTCATCAATAGGTCTAGTGTGGGCGCACACACGGCAACAGTTATGTGCATGAGCACATGGGTGATCAGCAGTAAGCAGACACGGGGGGCCGCTACATGAACATCAAGTCAGACTGGAGTGGAGTTGCTTACACTTTAAGATGCTTGATCAGGTGGATTGCCGTCATCAGGTTAGGGTCGGGGATGGAGTAGAGTAGAGACAGGATGCACTGCTGGCGTGCTTCAGGATTCGACAGACCTAGCATGGCACATAAGAGTGTATAGAAAAGCAGGGCAACTCGACATTAGTACTACATTTAATTTAGTCCAAAAGCTCCTTGGACGAAAAAGACGAAATTAAATTCCAGACGAATATTTCTGCTTGTACAGAAAACTGATCTGAGATCTAAATTTCCAAAATTTTCGGCTCAGCCACCCCTCCCACACGAGTAATTTTTAATTGTACTTCAGATGGCTGACTGTACCACACGAAAATACCTACCGACGCCCCTGCCTGGCCTTTCGCCTTCATACGGAAAATATAGAGCACCTAAAATTTCTGAAACTAGAGTACATTGCAAGGTGTCCTGCTGAGCGAACACCCGCCGTATACTATCACCATGGACTGTGCTGGAGATTTGTCATCTCGAAGTTTCAATGCACATTACGGTATCAATGAATTCAAGTTGCACAGCGTCTCTTGCCCTAGCAATAAACCACATGTTGCAAAAGAGCGGTATACGGGCGGGATTCGAACCCACCACCCCCGTCTTTCCGGGACAGTGCCCCACCGATTAGGCTACCAGGAGTCACACACACGCTTACACGCTCTCTCTCTCTCACACACACACACACACATACACACTCCTTCTTGCTATACACATGTCCTCAACTAGTAGAATATGCTTCACTAGATGACCACGCTGGCATAAAGGACCTGGTAGTCCTGTGAAAACTTCCAACCTACCCACAAACGGACTCAGATGGAGAGCTAAGGTTTAATTTATACAAAAGAGAAAGACCAAGGAACTACAAGTTACGCTATACTGTCCACTAACACCACCAGTTACTAAACAATCCGCTCATGCGACAACATTGCACGACACTGACCGACGGTACTGACGTTCTACAACTAACTGGCTAACAGCTCTAGCACCTCTTGGATGCGCACCCTTTTATTGATCTTCGCATCTTTTGAGCAACACAAGTTGTGTGGAATGTTGCTTTGAGTTCTTGAATCGTGGTTTGACCGTATTGTCCAATGGTCTTGCCAGTGTCGTCATCGACATGCATGAACATCCGCCAACGTCCTTCACAGCTGAGACTTTCAGCTTGTGCTTATCTTGGTTGCGCTCACCTTCCCCTCCTTATGTTATTTCTATAACTTAGAACCTTCCAAATTGGACGGCTGTGGAGCTGTCAGCCAGTTAGTTGGAGAACGTCAGTACCGTCGGTCAGTGTCGTGCAATGTTATCGCATGAGCTGATTGTTTAGTAACTGGTGGTGTTAGTGGACAGTATAGCGTAACTTGTAGTTCCTTGGTCTTTCTCTTTTGTATAAACTACCCACAAACAGTCAAAGTTACGCTCTGATAGTGGAATAGGCCCAGATTCAAAGACTGCCCATACTGTCTTGGAAAGGATACGCGCGAGTCTTCTATTTGCAAAAACACACGTACGAAGTAGCATCGGAGCCAATAACAACACAATGGGATTTCCCCAGTGCTGAAGCAACGACTCACCGAGTCCTTCCACAAACTTGTTGTACATGCAGCGTGGGAAGATGGGCTCGGGCATTTCACGGAAGTAGAGCTTCAGACAGCCGGACACTGCATGCACATCAACCTCTTCAGCAAGCTTCTGAGCATCCTTGATACCTGCACGAAGTCACCAAACACGAGCAAATAAAAAAGAGGTCAGCGGGACTCAACACAGATGCTACACATACAAATACTGGCGTGTGCACACAGCTTACGACTAGTCTCCATACATGAACGATGACTACTATACAAGCATTGTAGTGTGCTCAAACTACTCTACAGAGCCATCACAGTCAACGTGTTGACAGAGGCACAGCTAGTCCACCTCCATACATGCACGATGACTTGTATGTAGTGTGCTCAAACTACGGTACTCTCATCATAGCCATCACGGTCAACATGTTGACAGAGGCACGGTCGAGATGAGGCATAGGCAGCAAGAACCGGCGGTTTTCAAAATGCCGATATTCACGAAAACCGAAGCGCTGTAGTGAAGCACATCAGTACTTACTGATATCGAACGCCTGCTTCAGGCTCTTCACGTCCGACAGCAGGCCGGAAATTCTGTAGATGCCAGTCTCCTCCAGACCTGTGATGTGCATAACACACGACAAATGCACACACGCACGCACGCACACACACACACACATACACACACACACATGCAGCAGTTACTCAGTGTGGGCAAAGTGTTTACGGCAGAACAGTGGACCAAATGGCAAGAGCTCTAAGTTTTACGAGAGAGAGAGAGAGAGAGAGAGAGAGAGAGAGAGAGAGAGAGAGAGAGAGAGAGAGAGAGAGAGAGAGCGAGAGAGAGAGTGAGAGTGTGAGAGAGAGAGAGAGAGAAGAGTAAGACACATAGAGGCCACAAACATGCGAAAAGAAAACTCACCTCGTTTCTCCACTTCTGAACAGCAGATTTTTACAATGGCTGGCACCAAATCAGCTTCGCGCCTGCATGAAATACAATATGAGAAATATAATTCAACAACAATGTCTCAACCATTCATAAGTTGAGGGAATGGAAACGGGAAAAGTCTGAAGAAGAAAATCGACTGCCACCACCAGGACTGGAACCAGTGACCCTCGTTTACAGCCAGCGATGCTCTAACCACTGAGCTATGGTGTAGCTGTCCTCCCAGCAGAGACCGTTCAACATTTCCTTCAGACTTCTAAACTCACACTTCCTGTGACTCTACACAGGCTGGTGGGACGCAGCCCTCACTATATGTCTCAATGTCTCAACCAGGGATAAATAAAATCACAAAATAACAACAACAACAATAACAGCAACAACAACGACGACAACAACAGCAGCAGTAGCAACACATCATCCTAGAGCGCTTACAGGGAGACGGTCTCGATATTCTCGCCGAAGACGCTCGTCGACGTGTGCGCCTTCATCATTTCCGAGCGCCGCGCTGCCACTTCTGGCGAGAAGTACTGGACACACAGCTGCAGTGAACCTTGAGGATGCACGGGAATGCTTATGTCATGAGGCTCCTCATCACAGTATGGTAAAAGCTAAGAGAGCACGAGAACACAGAGGATAGCGGAAAGCAGAAAAGACGCAGCACATCAAGTATGCGCATAGCATGCAACCCATGCAGTGATTATAGTAAATTGCACTGCCAGTAACAGGTGACGAAGAACAGTAGTGTAGCAGCCAAGGCTGTTCCTGTTCAATACCTGTAGCCCACTGTGTAGTTCAGGCATAGGCTCATCCATGCATGGTTCAGTCATCACACATGACTTGGTATTCACGAAATCCTAACCAGTTCGTTCTTCGACGACTGCCAGTACGGTAAGCCACCAGGTGCGTGAATTTGAGGGGGGGGGGGGGGGGGGGGGCACCGGTATCTTCTTTGGGCTAGCGAGGTTCAGGTTCCAGCACCTCCGTTCTTGTTCTGTACTCGAAAATTGCAGAGTACAGGTAGAGTGTGTATGCAGTGTTACATGTAAAACACACACACTGGGGTTCCTAAATCTTTCCAGTCTGGAAATCTCTCATGTTTTAAAGGAACTACGCCAAAGCAAGCATTCTGCATCGCCAACATTTAAAAAGATAAGATAAGCTTGAACATCAGTATTGAAACCTGTTTCATTTGATCTACTCACATCCAAGGTAACCCGGCCAAGGTGTCTGCCTTTCACCTTGAGCCCCTTCTCGAAGATCGTTATGACCAGGCTCTCGGCGGCTTCGAGCTCGATCTCAAAGCCCTGCTCGAAGACGGGTGCACCATTGTTGTGCTGTGCACGTGTCTTGGCCTTGCGTTCAAAGTGCCCGTACGTGTCCAGCTCCATTGTACACGTCACATCCAGCAGAGTGGGTTTCAAGCCAATTGCACGATCGATGAACACCGTCATTAGACCGTCCACAAGCTCCACATTCTCCTCTGGATACAGGGAGGGAGAGAGGGAGAGAGAGGAAGAGAGAGGGGGGAGAGATAGAGAGATAGATAGATAGAGAAAGAGAGAAAGAGAGGGAGGTTGAGAGAGAGATAAAAGGAGGTTGAGAGAGAGAGATAAAGGGAGGTTGAGAGAGAGATAAAGGGAGGTTGAGAGAGAGAGAGAGAGAGAGAGAGAGAGAGAGAGAGATAGAGGGAGAGAGAGATAAAAGGAGGTTGAGAGAGAACACGCAGGAATACAATGGCATTGAGAATGGAAACCAAAGCCCAGAACAGGACCGCAGCAATTCGCACACAGAAAACTCCACAAGCACTACACCAGAGGAACGATGGAAGTTGCACCCACCAACTTATGCAGAGGCACAATACCAACTCGCTGACACAAAGTAAACTAACCATCTTCTTCCTCCTGCGCAAGAGCCTCAGCCAGAAGGAAGTCAGACTGTTCAAAAACAAAGATACGACACACAAGTTGATAACATACAGTTGGACATTGGACTTAGGTACATGATATTCTACACACGCAGGGTCAGTGAGCGCAGCTCAAATACAGTGCCCTATGCACACGGGTGCAGAGCGATCGCGTATCCCCAGCACCCACCCACTGGACGAGCTGTTTGGTGATCACTTAGTGCGGAAAACGTGAAATGCTAGTAACAGTGAATAAACAAAATGCCTGTCGTCTCCTCTGAGCGTGTGTGTGTGTGTGTGTGTGTGTGTGTGTGCGCGTGCATATGTGTGCACGTGTGTTCGATGTTCAAGAAAGTCTCAGTCAGTTACGCGGCTGTTTGCCGCTACAGTAGCATAGCTTCTGCATATCGGTAGTACGCAGAGGAATCTCCCTCTCCCTACTGCCCCCTCTCCCTCTCTCAGTCACTCATGCACACCTTTCATATATTTACAATTTACGGTGGCCAGGAAGTTTATGGGAGAACATGAGAGCATGGAGAACTCGGCTGCACAACTCAAATCCACTCTAGTCCTTGCAACACCCGTTCATGCTGTGAATACACAAGGTAACCGGATACCACAAGCAGGCCTGTCAGCTCCAAGCAGAGACTCAAAGACAAACTAGGACACGGTCATGTTGTGCTCGAAGTGGCGTTCGTCGAGGCTCCTCCATGCGTTTGACACAGACAGAAATACCGTAGAACGGCTAATTTTAGCGGGTGAATTTTTTAGCGTTTTCTGAATCTGGAACCAATTGGCGATGAAACATTTTAGCAATCCGATTTTGAAATTTTGCGTGTACAGCACAGTACTATTTTTTAACTCTGAAACTCGGATCACACTTCAGTGAAAACATTCCTTTCGGTAAAATCGCTAAAATACCAGTACATAATAATCATCCGATTTTGAAATTTTGCATGTACAGCACAGTATGATTTTTTAAATCTGAAACTCGGATCAAACTTTAGTGAAAACACTCCTTTTCGGTAAAATCGCTAAAATACCAGTACGTAATAATCATGCTGCACTGGAGATTCCATACCTCCAGCTTGCTCTTCGCCATCATATCCTGCAGTTCAAACTGTGTCAACTCCGTCACAGGTGCTGAACAGGAAGAGCAAAACACACACACAACAGCAGCAACGACAACGTCAAACACGGTCGACCGTGCGAATAACAATCCTCGATCAGACGTGAGAAAAGTGTTGTTATATCCGCGAGGTTAAAAGTACACGGCCAAGCGGTTACTTGCTCTGAAGATGTTGTTACTCGCGAACTGTTGCTATTTGCAAGGTTGACAGTATCACCAATAAGCAGCAGCAGCAGCAACATCCTCACCACCATCAGTGACCAGGCAGACGAACAGACGGGGCATAAATGAAAAAGAAAGATAGACACACTTCACACGAGCAGAAAAAAAAAACAGGAGTCGTCTCACTCAAGCCCACAGCTTGGAGACGGCCAATTCGAGACGGAGAAAAGGAAGCTGTCCCAGCAAAGCAACATGCATGCTTCGGGTCAAGTAAACGGGAGGGGGGGGGGGGGGTTCTCCTGGTCTGAATCACACACACACGCACATGCACACACACACACACACGCACATGCACACGCACATGCACACACACACACACACACACGCACATGCACATACACATACACACACACGCATGCACACACACACACACGCATACACACACACACACACGCACATGCACACACACGCATACACACACACACACACGCACATACACACACACACGCATGCACACACACACACACGCATGCACACACACACACACGCACATGCACACACACACACGCACATGCACACACACGCATGCACACACACACACACACGCACATACACACACACACGCATGCACACACACACACACACGCATGCACACACACACACACGCACATGCACACACACACACACACGCACATGCACATACACACGCACACACACACCATATGCCCACACAGAGTGGAGGACTCCCCTCGGTCTGAATCACACACAGTGGAACAGGGGGATTCCCCTCAGTCTGAATTACAGACACTCCAGATCCCAAAAGACAGTGAGAGACGGGTATTCCCCCACCGAGCCCCAGCCGGAGTGACAAGTCCTACATGCAGCAAGCTTACCATAAGCAGTTGCTTTCGTGACAGCATCCTCAAACTCCTTGCCTTCTTGATCTCCGAAGAAGAGCATGACATACGGCTAACAGAGAGAAAGACAAACACAGGAGTTTGTATATTACCAGTCGCTACGCAAAACACAGCACCGGCAACACTGACGCTTTACCATATCTCTACTTCCCTCCGAACACTGCACCGTAGGTCAACCAGCTCCCCCCCCCCCCCCCCCACACACACACATATACACTGGACCATACACCTACCAACCCAAACTACCTCCCCCCCCACACACATATACACTGGACCATACACCTACCAACCCAAACTACCTCCCCCCCCACACACATATACACTGGACCATACACCTACCAACCCAAACTACCTCCCCCCCCCCCCCCCCCACATTGGCAGACACTAAGAGTACACAAGTTACATACCCCCCCCCCCCCCCCCCCCCCCCAGAGTGTGCAACTCCCACATACCCTGCTGGCCCGACAGAATTTCAAGTCGAAGTCATTATTGATGATGCAATGCTCCTTGCACCTGTGACTTACAACATGTGTACGGGTGTCAACGCATCACACGTTTTTCTTTGCATTAATTTGTACAGGATCAGATGGGCTTTGGTCCACCACAGGTTCCGGATTCGTCTGATAATCCGTGTACAGTGCTCCTTGCATCATCAAAATAACGTCAACTTGAAAGTATGTCGGGACAGCCATAGCACACTCTTGGGGGGGGGGGGGGGGGGGGGGCTATGTACTCTTGCTGACACCGAGACCAGAGCAAAGGCTTTACGCTGAAATAGACGGTATACCTTTTTGTGATAATAGTCGCTTTCTTTGAGTGGCACATGGTTGGTGACAGAGGGCTGTGAGGCTTGCATATTACCAGTGACGGTGGGGAGGCTAACAGCAGATATGCGATTGCCGGGAAGGTAGCGCGATACGTGCTTGTACTGTGTGGTGAGCGCGGTAGAGTGGTGCAGATCGGTGCAGAGCGGTGCGACACACAATGATGACGTGTCCATGGCGTGATTGACATGAGGAGTAATGATGATGATGATGATGGCAACGATGATGATGGTGAGACAGTGATGGAAGTGACATGGCAGCATCCATAGACAAACACGCACACATGCGCGTGCACACACACACACACACACACACACACACAATGACGGTGGGATGAGCAATGGGAGCGACAGAACGTATTCACCCATAATCACACGTGCAAAGCTCAACAAAGCTTGGACAATCGAAGTCAAATCAGCACACAGCCTAAAGCCCGATTCATACTTCATGTCGCGTACGGGAAACGCGTCGCGAGAAAGTTGATCTGAGCTCAACTATTTCGCGTACGGTAAACCCATCGCGCGACGGTCGCGCGATGGGTTTCTCGTACGCGAGATGAAGTATGAATCAGGCTTAAGGAATGCGCCTGAAGTGCGTCCTTCTTCTCAATACCAATCCAAAGTACAAGGCCGTCACACATTACAACAAAGCACAATGATCGCAGCTTAGCGCAAATGTGACAAATCCTTGTCCCCGATCGTGGTTTGTTGCAGAATAAAGTCTTTCATTGCAGTTACCGTATTATCTCTAATATAAGCACAGTCTCCAATAATAGAACACCTTGGGGCGGCATTCAAAAAATAAAGTGCTTAGTCTCCATTATAAGCACACTGTGTAAATTCATTATCAGTACGGGGGAAAAAAACCCTGAAATGTGTGTGTCATACATGAATTTGGCATGGCAACATGCCTCTGAAATGAGGTTGAAATAATAATGGAACAGTCTCCAATAAAGGAACGTCTCCATTAATAGCACGGGGCGGAGGTACATTGAAAAAATAAAGGACCGTGCTTATATTAGAGATAATACGGTACACTGAAATGGCACCAAATGCCTGGAAATGCTTGCAATTGGCTTCAATTCTTGAATTTTTTTCCCCGGGGGAGGGTAATGTTTGTTCCCGATCATAGCGTCTTCTTCATTTGTTGCAGAATCAAAAAGACTTTCATTGTAGTTACCGTACACTGAAATGGCACCAAATACCCGGAAATGCTTGTAATTGGCTTCAATTCTTGAATTTTTTCCCAGGGGAGGGTAATGTTTGTCCCCGATCGTAGCGTCTTCTTCGTTTGTTGCAGAATCAAAAAGACTTTCATTGTAGTTACCGTACACTGAAATGGCACCAAATACCCGGAAATGCTTGCAATTGGCTTCAATTTTTTCCCGCGGGAGGACCCCCGGACCCCCCCCCCCCCTTCCATGGCCGCCCACCTCCAAAGTCGGTGCGACGGGCCTGAAGTAGACTGGGGATTTTCCCTAATGAGTGGATTAATCTGATCCAATGACGGGACTATGTACTTGACCACCTTCCCATCGAACTGCAATGCAGAGCATGCAGGGGAAGCTGACCTTTTGGGACTTGTGCCCGAAACGAACCAATGAACTGGCCGTCATCTGCTTCAGCAGCATCTCCTGAACAGGGTTGAGAAAGAAGAGGTGAAAAGAGGCACAATGAGCACAAGAACACGAAGAACAGAGCACAACACAAACCAGCAGAAGACACCAAGAGTAGACCGGTGTTCAGGACGGTTTAAGTACAGTGCTGCTCAATGGAATCCGATCGAGTCACTCGAGTGCGTGCCGGGCGTACGCAGCCTTGCCCCCTGCGAACACTGGGTTGCAAAATGGTGCAAGGCGTAAGCTTGACTAACGTGATCGGATTTCATCGAGCAGCACTATGAATTCGGAAAAGAACATGCGCAAGCAACACTGCACCAGTCCATTCAAGCTCATATCCGAGAGAGAGAGAGAGAGAGAGAGAGAGAGAGAGAGAGACAGAGAGAGAGAGAGACAGACAGAGGTTGAAAAACACATACGGAGCAAAGGAACAACCTTAGGGCCACCACTCACGGACTCCTGGAGACGTTTGCGAATCTTTTCCCGATCGGCCATCTTCTTGGCCCGCTTCTTTACATCAGCCTGTGGCGATAATGAAAACGAGACAGAGACAATATGTTCACAGGCACAACTGAATGGACACAAGCGTCAGCGCGAAGCCATTTCGACAATGCTCGCAGCTAGCAATTGTGCATGGAGTACACACGGAGCCCCAAATGCAGCAGGTGGCCTATACAGAAAATTGAAGCCAGTACACAGAGGCAGAGTTCCCTTCCTGAATAACAAGATGCCAGGCCTGACATAACTTTAGGGATCATCCGGCATTATCGATAATTTTCACGAAACGAAAAAACTTGCCCCCCCTCCCTGAACGGGTGAGAAAACGGGAGTCTAACTGACACCTGGCAGGAGTCGTGAACGTAAAAGGGAAAGAGAGTCCACACATCAGCAATGCATGGATTGCTCACCATAACACGGTTGATTTGCTTCAGCTCTGCTTTGTATTTGTTGACCTTGAGAGACAGGGCGTTGAGTTCAGACTGAGATACTTGCAGAGCTATATCTACAAGAGTACAACAATGTTTGCATGTGTGTATGTGTGTGTGTGTGTGTGTGTGCGTTTGGAGAGAGAGAGAAAGAAAGAGAGAGAGAGAGAGAGAGAGAGAGAGAGAGAGAGAGAGAGAGACAGAGAGAGAGAGAGACAGAGAGAGTGAGAGAGAGAGAGAAAGAGATATATAGAGAGAGACAGAGAGAGGCACACATACATTTAAAAGACTGCACCGGTCTCCATTGCACCCCATAATCCCCAGTCCCACTAGGAACAACTAGAGTGAAGCCATAGTTGAAAAATGAGAACAAATTGACAAGACTAGCGACGACAAAGCCTGTCTCTAAGTAGGAACACCAAAAACAGACACAATATATCATGTACACCCGTCGTGACACTACACACACACACACACACACACACACACACACACACACACACACACACACACACACACACACAATGTGCCATATACGCCCATCGCAAAAACAGTCTTCTCAATGACTGTTCACGCAGACGTGCAAGCACACAAGCACACAAGGACGCACACACACACACACACACACACACACACACACACACACACACACACACACACACACACACACACGTAGGCAAACCAATCCCCGCACTGACTAACCGCCGTCGGCATCGAAAGGCGGGTTGACGATGCACTCCGCCAGTGGCATGTACCACTTGCATTCAAGTTTCCTGCAGAACAGTCAGACAGACGACACGTCGAGCAAGGTGAAAGAAGAAAACAAACAAACATTATAGGTACAGATAATTCGAGTTCATTGTTTTTTTCTCAACTTCCGCTCTTTGATTCTAAAACAACGCCATTGCGAAGGCATGCCAGCAATGATTCGTTCAGCATCAGTATGCAATTAAAGACATGGACGTATGCCAACCGGCACAAGACGAAAGCAAACTCACTCCTTATGTTGCCTGCTCCTGTGCGGCGTAGAGCAACAGAGCAATGTGTCCTCGTACAGGAAGAGATGACGAAACTTACGCCGGCCGTCCGACGCTGAAAAACAGTGAACAGAGGAGAGAGACATTGTCATCATAACTCCCCATGCCCCGTGTCCTGACAGAGGTGTGGAACACCTGATACAACAATAAGTCAACTCACAACCTGCTCAAACTGGTGGCCAACACAAACATGCCAAGACATGCGCGAGTATTAATGTACACACCCATGCGTACAGGGAAGGCGTGTGTGTGCGGGCACACATATACACGGGTATGCACTAGTGTTGAAACGAGCGTATCTATAACAAACGAGCGATCAGTTCCACTAACGAGCAAGCTATCGAGCGATCTAACGAGTTTCATTGATGTGGCAAATATGATTATTTTTTTGAATAATTTTTTTTTCTAAGTTCGATTTTTTTCAGCTGGTTCAAATCATCACCGCCGGCTTTTGGGTTTGCTGCTGCTTCACTTCGGACTGCTGGTTGGTGTCGAGATGTCTTTTCAGCGCCGTCGTGGATTAGCCTTTGTAACAATAGACCGTTTTGCAAAGATTGCAAGTAGCCCTGGTCTTCGCTGCATCGCGGAAGAAAACTTCCAAACGACTGAGTGTAACTTTCACTCGAATGGAGAGGTGACTGAAGCATATCCTGCGACAGGTCAGCAGATGCGGAACAGGACATCAGTAGAGTCCACCAAAGCTGCAACGACAACTGAAACAACTCAAGTGTCGTGCAGGCATACAGTCACCTGTAACTGCGAGTGATTTTCACTTTGCGCGGGACTGGACTCTCGATCGACCAGGGAGTCGTAACATATTTTACGACTCCCCGGTCGACATGTATTGCCATGTGTACGGAGTACGGTGTACGGTGTTCGTTAGTGCAAACGAGCTGGCCGCACAAACGAGCCGAGTTTCTGGCGAGCGAGCTAACGAGTATCCGGTGAGATCGTTTCAACACTAGTATGCACACATGCGCGCACGCACACACACACACACATGGATGCACACACATACACACACACACACACAAACACACACGCACACACACAGAGGAAAGGGTGGCTTACTCTGTGATTCAACACACGTGCAGTGCTGGATCAGTTTACGTCCACATTGCGTCTGCAATACAACAGAAAGCATAGCAATGCTGTTAGCTAAAGATCAGTGAACAAACAAATTGCGTTTGGCCACCACTGACATAATTATATACCTGGTCAGGTCAGGAGAGGGGAGAACTTCTAACTGTAGAACAGATATGATCATAGGCTTGGCCAGTAAACACGTGCCAAACGACATTACAACACACACCAGTCCTAGAGTTACCGTAGTGCCCCTCCGACAGCAATACCCGACAAGAAACGAGGGAAAGCTTTCAAAGAAACACCGGTTACATACATAAAAGGAGAGAGAAAAAGAGAGAAAAAGAGAGAGAGAGAGAGAGAGAGAGAGAGAGAGAGAGAGAGAGAGAGAGAGAGAGAGAGAGAGAGAGAGCAGCAGCAAGCATACCTCGCGACCACCTGCCGCACGTGCAGTATTGAAGTTGGCCAGGAAGGAGCCCAGGTCGGCAACGGACGTTGACAGGCTGGCATAGTCAGGGTGTGCAGGTGGGGTATAGCGCACTAGATCTTGCATGACAAGAATGTAGTTCTGCAGGCGCTGTACAGGCATCTGGATCAGCTCTGTGCAGCAAAAAGAAAAGGAAATGAAACGCCAGCGGCATAAATATATCGCTTACTGTAAAGAAAGAAATTCCCGGAGTGCAAATTCGCGTTTTCAAGAATTGCACTGGTTCACGATGGAAAACTTTTCCGATTTTATCTCTTCAATTGGACTCTGTATTTAGCACGGCGACACACAGAGCAGTGCGCGGGGATTTATATTTGCAAACGTGTAATGGCTGCGATAATAGTGAAATTGTTCTCTAGCACACGTTTCTCACTTTGCAGTATACAACCAAGAGTACATAACCCCCCAGAGTGTGCAACTCCCACATACCCTGCTATCCCGACAGAATTTCAAGTTGACGTCATTATTTATGACGCAATGCTCCTTGCACCAGTGATTTACAACATGTGTACGGGTGTCAACGCATCACACGTTTTTCTTTGCAATAATTTGTACAGGATCAGATCGGCTTCGGTCAACCACAGGTTCCGGATTCGTCTGATAATCCGTGTACAGTGCGCATTGCATCATCCAAATGACGTCAACTTGAAATTCTGTCGGGACAGCACCCATAGTCGAGTTGCACACTCTGGGGGGGGGGGGGGGGGTTATGTACTCTTGATACAACCCAACTCTTGCCAGGAGGAAGTGGATGTGCGCATCATAAGCTCCAAGTACTTGCACACAACAGTCTGTAAAAGCTGAAGAAAAAATAATGCGGGATGTCAAAATCACAACTCAACAAGTGCTGATATCCTACCTTCGAACGGAACATTCTTCTTCAAGCCCTTGATGGATGCAGCCGCCTATGTCCATCACACACACACACACGGAGAACAAACAAGAGTTGGAGTCAGAGAGTAAGTGAGTGTGTGTGTGTGTGTGTGTGTGTGAGTGTGTGTGTGTGTGTGTGTGTGTGTGTGTGTGTGTGTGTGTGTGTGTGTGTGTGTGTGAGTGAGTGAGTGTGTGTGTGTGTGTGTGTGTGTGTGTGTGTGTGTGTGTGTGTGTGTGTGTGTGTGCTTACGCCTTGACATGACAGCCAAGGCAGTGTGTTGTGCGATCTGTGAGCGACTCTTCGCCAGTGAAAGCGGACTCCGGCGGCACAAATGCAGGGAAGAGCGACTGAAGCCGATCCATGAACAGGCCGGTGCTGTGTTGTGCGAGACGTGCCATCGCTGGTTTGCTAGCCGAGGTGGATTTGCTGTGCACAGCTGCTCTCCCAGCCTGGGTGACGCTCCAGTTCCAGAGATAGTTGCACCTCGTCCACCTGATTGCAGGCAATGTCAGTACCTCTGCCACACCTGTGACCGCTGTTTCCGGAGCAAAGCTGGGCACCGCCGACACAACCGCAACCGCAGAACATGCAGCTCTGGCTCCGAGCGCCGCACCATCCCATGCCCGACCTGCTCTCGGAAGTTCACACGTCTCCAGTACCTGCCTCAACACAAATGCAAGAAGTAACTCTGCCCTCCTTGCCTCTTTGAGGCGCTGCATCACCTTTAGGTGGCAGTTTCAAGGTTTCAAGGTGTGTGTGTGTGTGTGTGTGAACGAGTGCGCGCGTGTGTGTGTGTGTGAACGAGTGTGTGTGTGTGTGTGTGTGTGTGTGCACGCACGTGCACATGTTTGTGTGTGTGTGTGTGTGCGCGCGCGCGCTGACGTTCACGTGTTTGTGTGTGACGTGGGTTAGTTTTATTCCTATTCAACCGCAACACCACATAAACAGTACCTGCGAGGGAAACGTGTCGAGGTGAGGCCGATGAAAGTTTCCACGCAAGCACTAACATGATCTACAGGAGCAGGCTCATCAGGATGAACAAGCAATCCAGGCTTACCTTGAGAAAGGCCGAGAACGCACCAGACTCCTGCCGGTAGCGTGTTACAATATCAATGGCGCGCGGGTAATTATCCAGGTACGACTTGTACACGGGCAATTGCCGTACCTGCAGCAAGAGTTTGGGCGAAACATTGGAACTCAATCACAGAACCTGATTGAATCCATACGCTGTTACCCTGGATACTCTGAGGTATATTTGACCAGCTTGTACCATTCTCACCAGGCGCATAGCTCGTGTATAATCCGCATAGTCCAGTCACCACGCAAGCAAATGGCCGCCATAGGTACTACATTACATACCGTAAAAGTCTTGTATAAAAGCCGCGGCTTCTATGACTTTCTTGGTGAAATTTTGCAGGCTTCTATATGAGACAGGCTTCTATACAAGACAGGTATTTCTATGTATGTCAACACTAAAACCAGGCTTATGTGTGATTTGATGGGCCCAAAATTGCGGCTTCTATTCAAGTGCGGCTTTTATACAAGACTTTACGGTAGTCAAAATAGGCAAAATGTCACCTATGAGGCTGCCGATGGTACATATTCACCACCCCACAGATGTACAGTCTGATACATGGTCACCACCCCCACAGATGTACAGTCTGATACATGGTCACCACCCCCACAGATGTACAGTCTGATACATGGTCACCACACCACAGATGCATGAGCTACACCGCAGTTAACCCCACTGGTTATTCGTACATCTACTCATATGACTAGACTGTAAGTGTGTGATTAGGCCAAAACAAATAATGACCTTGTTTCCGGTCGGCCGACTGGGCCACTTTTTCCCAAATTCTGAAACTTTTTTTGGTCTCAAATGTATACAAACGGTGGCAATGCCATGTGTGCAAGTGCACTCAACGAGTCATAACCCAGTCAAATCTCAACTGAATTCCACAATCGAAACACCTACAAGGTAGCAGAGATTCTCAGCTGTCGGCTCGAAAACCTCCGGGGTCGATACGAGCTAGAATAACGGAGCTGGAAGGACTCGAACTGTTTGCTTGATTTCTCAGGATGTACGAAAACAGGAATACACCACATGCTGTACAAGAACAGTGAGTCAGTCAACTCTGACATTGATCCTTGCCATGATATATGTACAATCAAGAGTTGGTACAATGTACATGTCTAGGTGCTCTTGTCCATCAATACCACAACGATTGAGGAACCAAAAAATTATCCGAAAAAAGTTTCATTCCGGCCGACCGAGTCTCCTTTTTGAGGGGTTGCCGACCGGAAACAAGCCTACTTTTTGTTTTGGCCTTATACAGATAGTGAATAATGAATAAATATACAAATAATCTAATGAATAAATAGTTAATAATGATAGTAAATTAATAGTCCATAGGGGAACTTTGTGCACACCACTATGGAAGTTTGCCCCCACCCACCACACAGCTCAACTCGCAAATGCCCATCGCCGAAGTGGCGATAGCAAACAAGCTATGCTCGACACAGCAACTGGTGCTGGTATTACACTGTTCAACAGCTTGCAAGGCTGATGAATTGCCCCCCACTACCACACACACACCCTTACCTATGCTCCCACCACACCCACCCGCCCGCCCGCACACCTCCACCCACCCGCACACCCACCCACACCCACAGACCGGGCACTCACCAGCTCGACCAGCGCTCTTCCGACCTCGGTGGAGACGCTCCAGTCCACGAGCAGTGGCTCAAGCAGGCGGTTGATGTGCTCGTGCACGTCAACGATACTGGTCAGGTTGTGAAAGATAGTGTCGCAATCTTTCTGAGAGACGATTGGCTGCGAGCTAGTAGCAACAGCTGCCAGGGGCTTGCAGTAATTCTGCAATAGGTCAAGAGAGAAACAACGAACATCATGGTCATGTGTGGAGTGTGAACAATGCATTGCTGATCCCAGCGTACTCACATGCATTACTCATAGCTTCCATATTCGGCAATGTGCAATCAGCTTGTACAGTCCTGCTCAATGAAATCCAGTCGCGAGAGTCAAGTTGGCGCCGTGCACCTTTTCGCAGCCCAGTGTTCGCAGGTCTAGGGCTGCGCAACGCCTGGCGCGTACTGTAAAAGCCATTATTCTAACGAGGCGCATACACAACGATTTCCTAAAATTGACTGGTTTACGTTAACAAAAGGTAACGATTCTGACTCATTCTCAACGCTCAATAGCAACAGTACTGTATCGATTTCTGTATAACGATTTCTATTTTAACGACAGATCTCTCCTCGTTAACTCGTTCGAGTTAGCACTTCGTTATATACATGGCTTTTACAGTACTTGAGAAACTGGATTTCATTGTGCAGCACTGTATATGTACATACTGGTAGACCAATACTGTACTCACATTGAGCATGATCTGCAGGACTTCCAGGTAGAGTTTCTCGCTGTCCACAATACCCATCACTACCATCTTGCGCATCAGCAGCGAGTCATCCTCATCGGTGTGCTGCTGCATGCCGTCCACCACTGCAGAGTCACCACCGCCAGCCACCGCCGTCTTCTGTCCCAGGCTGGCCTCCAGACTGTTGAGGATGGCGATGGGCGAGTCGGCATGCGCCTGTGGCTGTGCGCCCCCAGCCCCTGTGCCGGGCGGCGAGACTGACGTCACTGACGTCCTCGACGCCGCAGCCGGCGTAGGCAGAGAGCTGGTCAATACTGACGCCTGAGCGGAGTAGATAAAACACACGCCACAACGCATTCGGAAGTACACGGAACGCTAGGTGACCAGCATTATTACATCATAAACTGGCCATCACATGTACATCATGCTGGTCAGCACTGACTCAGCAGTCAGCATTACATCATGAACTGGCCATCACATGTACATCATGCTGGTCAGCACTGACTCAGCAGTCAGCATTACATCATGAACTGGCCATCACATGTACATCATGCTGGTCAGCATTACATCATAAACTGGCCATCACATGTACATCATGCTGGTCAGCACTGACTCAGCAGTCAGCATTACATCATGAACTGGCCATTACATGTACATCATCCTGGTCAGCAGTCAGCACAACATCATAAACTAGCCGTTGCCTTGTGCCGATCAGCAATTGCCAAGCAGAAACGTGCATGAGAACAAGCTAGTGGCGCATGAAAAAGACAGTTGCAGCAACGACTCTCTCTCTCTCTCTCTCTCTCTCTCTCTCTCTCTCTCTCTCTCTCTCAACAACGACTCCTTCCTTACTTTGGCTGCAAAGGCAGAGTTCAGCAAGGCCTAGAAATGCTAGAATGTCAGATTATCGCATCCATCGACCAGCATCACCACAGCAAGGAGCAGTCGTAAGAACAGAGCACAACCTTTGCTAATGTAGTGCCCCTCCGACAGCAATACCCGACAAGGACCGAGGGCAAGCTTTTAAAGAAGCACCTGAGAGGTGATGAGGAGGTAGTGAGATGCTTAAAGAGAGAGAGAGAGAGAGAGAGAGAGAGAGAGAGAGAGTGAGAGAGAGAGAGAGAGAGAGAGAGAGAGAGAGAGAGAGAGAGAGAGAGAGAGAGAGAGAGAGAGAGAGAGAGAGAAGGGGGAGGGAGGGCACACACACACAATCAATCAACCCCAAACACATCATGCCACCCTGGCCGGTCTCACCTCTGACTTGGTGGGGAGCAGCGATGAGCTGCTTGACAGGAACGAACGCATAGACAGCGAATCCTGACAATCACTGCGCGCCCGCCGCAGGTCCTCCAGCTCTTCTTCGTAGGACATGGCGGGGATGATTTCCTCTCCACTACACGTGCTCTGAATGTCATGGCTGCACGCGTCGTCAGATCCCGTCGAGCACTCGCTACGCCCGCTGACCGATATGCTGCTTATCGAAGGCTGCGACGTGATCGACGGCGAAGGAGCGGTCGCGACCAGTCCCGAGTGCGAGATGCTGTTCTGAATGAGCACGTCGAGATCCTCCAGGCGCTCGTACAGCGGCGTCTTGTTGCCCTTGACGGAGACGCAGCGACGGCTGTTCTTGGCCGAGATGGATTGCTCGTTAGCCAAAGGTGACATGGATGGCAGGCTGGTTACGGCGGAGACAGTCGGAGATGAACCGTTGCTCGCAGCCGAGCCGCCCGATGTCGCACTTCCTTTATGTCCGTCATCAGAGACGCTCGGCCCGCTGACCGGCGTGATTGACGACACGGACACGGGCGGCGTGGCTTCGTCGAGCGCGTTCTCGATGCTCTCATACACGGTACCCTCGCTGGCTCGAGTCAGCGTGAGCGGGCGACGAGGAATCGATTCGGCGCCGGTACTTTTACTGTCCTGCACATCCTTGCTCGCTGGGACGTCAGACGGTGTTGGCGGACAGTAGGCATTGGCGAAAACGTCCTCCAAAGCTGAGCACACGCGCATATGCACACACACACATATGCACACGCACGCGCATACACACACACACACGCGCACACACACACACACACCGCGAGAGAAACAAAAGAAGGTAGCGGTGTAAAAAGCAGGTACAGTGACACCTGTCTGAGGCTGCGTTTACACGACAACGCACGGCCAGTTTTCCGTTTTCAGTCCCGCATTTCTTTTTTCGTTTTCGTACGTTTACACGATCAAAGCCGATCCGAGGTGGTCTCCGTTTGTACCGTTTTCAAGCGTCTACACGAGAGCAAAGGATCCGCCAAAGTTCGTCATGTGCCAAGTGTTGCCGTGGAAGCACCAATCACACTCAAGTAATGGTTGAAAACAGGCACACGACAACACACGTCACATGACGAAAATTGTAAAAACAATTTTTTGGATTGTCGGATCCGTGTAAACGGCCGAAAACGAAACAAACGTGACGGAAAACGAGGCCAGCACACCGTTTCGACTGTTTACACACCCAAATTTATCCGGCAGAACATTTCCGTTTTCAAATTCTTCCACCTTGGCCAGCGTTTTGGTTTTCTTCCGTTTTGGTGTACAACTTTTACGTTTTGCTCCGCGTACCGTGTAAATGAACCATGGATCCGAAAGGATTTCGTTGCGTTTTCGCCCCCAGCGTTGTCGTGTAAACGCAGCCTAAGGCGACCACTCAAGGGACATTCTAAATGTGGTCCCTGCGTACAGGTGGCCCCCTTATCCAGGGTCATTTGACTGGAAACAACACCAACTGCTCCTAGTTGTAGCGGTCCTCTGGGACAGGTGGTTCTCTTTTTCCGAATGGTCGCATTGACAGGGTTTACTGCACCCGTATACAACATACAGCCGAGTGAGCAAGAGAATTCGTTCACACACGCCGTGCTATGTGCTGCATACACTGATGCATACAACGCATGTGATATAAGCGTTTAAGTCTCACCTAGTCAGGCCCCAAGTGACCAGTACATGTGTGTCAATTACGCCATCGACAATTTCAACTCGGGGCACTCCCGTACAACAGTCTACAAGCCCACCCATTGTGTACCGAAGAAATAAAACTACACCAAAATCTTCATACGCCCGAGGAAATAAACTTAATCAAAAATGGCTTTCGGAGGGTTTTTTTTCTCATTCACAGTATAAAGACTAAATGCTCCAAGACACATTCTTACAATCACAGTTCTTCCGCGTCGGCAATTTCCCTGCCAGAATGGGCGCCTTCTCGGAAGCTACTGCGTGGCGTTCCCCGCTAGTCTCGGAGCATGAAGCACCAGCGCTCGGTGTTGCCTCGCCGGGAGTCTTGCAGTCGGAAACAGGTGGCGGTGATCCTGGCGGAGTGCCCAGTGCCTCCATGACCGACTGGCTGGTGGAGCTGCGCGGGTGATTCGTGTCCTGCTCAGCACTACTGGTGCTGATTGTAGGGACAGACACATCTGTCATTGCGTCCTGAGAAGCAGAATCCATCAAGAGATGGGGAGAGAGACAGACAGAGAGAGAGAGCGAGAGCGAGAATTAGTTCACTAGCAACTTGTTCATATACTCTGGCAAACTGACAAACTACTTCGATAGTCGTACGCTAGATCTACCCAGACAGGCATGCAATATGAGACAATTGAATGGCAGAGATCACTTCAGCGACAATCTTCCAGACTGGTTGCTCTTGCAGCTAAACATAATTATAATATTATACAAGGAACTGCGCAGTCTTCTTTCGTTTGCACGTCTACATCATCACCACAGGTGACACACCATTAGAGAGTCGTGGCAAAAGTATTTGTCGCGTCTCTGAAACGAACATCGTTCATTGAAGGAGGGGGAGTGGGGGGGGGGGGGGGGGGGGGTAAGCCAAAATCGCAAGTCAACTGATAACGTACAGGGAGGGGGGTGTCCGAGTAACAAATGAACGATGTTCGTTTCAGGGACGACACAAAACTTTTGCGAAAACCACTAAGCATGACTCGTGTACCGGGCTGGAATCGCGAATCACCATGACCAGAGAATGGGATGTATGCATCCATAGCCCGCCGTTAGGCAAGTCCACTACAACCGTACACACCTTGATACCAGCTCTGCATAAAAGGTCATGAACTTAGTACGGTCATACTCAGAAATGTACTATAATGGGTTGTAGCTGCCAAAAATGGGGCGACTTGCCCCGCAAAATGGTGACGGCCGTCTTCGACGCGTACCTCCCATTCATAAGAAAAAATACACGGCAGGGTTTGCGTGCGGCCTGCTTACATTGGTTGGCGTGGTGGCGGTATTGGCAGCTGCACTCTGTAACATGGTGCTGTCTTCCAATTCCTGTGACTGCTCGGCCTCCTCCGCCGCCTGCAGTAGGCAATCCATGATATTCATAGGATCGCCGCAAGGTGCTTTACCAGCTGTTGTGCCAGCTGCTTCAGCTTCTGAGCTTACTGCAGGCACAGTGTTGTCGGACCCGCCGCTGACAGAAGCAGTCTCCGTGACAACCTCCGCGGCAGCGGTAGTTTCTCCAGCAGCCGCAGTCGCATCAATTGATGCGACCTCCACCTGAGAAACATGCCACAAGAAGGGAAGGAAAACAATGACAATTGACATCGACGGCAAAACAAAAAATTAATTGGAAGAAAACAGGCTTTAAGTGACCACAGCATGGAATCACGTCCTCGCTGAAAAAGACCGACAGGAAAGCATTCAAAATCCAGTCTTCGCCAAGGGGCCATCCAAGGTTACCAATAATATTTTCAAAACGAAATGTTTTCGTTTGTGGGTGGGTTTGATGGAGTTTCGTTTTGAAAATAATTATTGAATGCTGATGGAGAATGCCCAGTTACTTCTGGGTGTCGAAAATTGACATCAATATTTTATTGAAATTCGTTTTACCTGCAGAAAAGGTGGGTGGGTGGTTGGGGGCTGAAAAATACTAAAACTTTTCGTTTTGTAAAAACAATCGGTAACCCCAGACGGCCCCCAAGAGAACGAAAAGACAGAACCAGGCACGAGGGGCTCTGAATTACAACAATAGACAACTCTGAATTACTGACTGGCTGTAAAACTCACATCAGCTGGAGTAGCATCAGATGTAGCAGCATCTGCTGGAGCAGCATCGGTTGTAGCAGCATCGGCTGGAGTAGCATCGATTGTAACAGCATCTGCCTGAGCAGCATCAGCCGTAGTGGTATCGACTGTAACAGAATCGTCTGCGACAGCAACTGCCTGAGGAGCATCAGCTGTAACAGAATCGGCCGTAGCAGCATCTGCCTGAGCAGCATCAGGCGGAGGAGCATCGACTGGAGTAGCATCAGCCGGAGCAGCATCGGCTGCAGCACTAACGTCCTCAGTGGGTCCGTCACATTCGTGTGAGCCTTCGACCTGCTCGTCACCTAGAGAGCTGGTGACTGGCTGAACTTCCTTGCACACCGCTACGGGCTCGCTGGCCAAGCTCGTGTGGGACGTATCCACTACCGCTGCCTTGCTTGGGCCTTCGGATAAAGCGGCCTCCGTTGCCGCTTGCTCATCGAGTGTGACGGCCTCTGCGGCACGGATCAGCACGTCAATACCTTCGCCTTCGATGTCGGCGGAAACGATCAAATCGGGCCCCTCAGATGCCATCCTCCCGGAGTGCGAGGTCGCGCTCTGTTTAGCGTCTTCTGGTACTGCTGCAGAAGGTGTTGTCGTGGAGCTGCAGTCGTCCCCGTCCTCAAAATGTTCTGTCGAGTCCGAATGTTCGTTGTCTATGGAGAGATTGTCATCACTTGAAGAGCCGGAGGAGGAAGAAGATGGAGACGAGCTCCGACCTGGTGCCGCCTGCACAGTGTCACTCACTTGCAACTGCACGTATACACACGCACACGGACGAACACACGCATATGCACACACATACACGGACGAACACACGCATATGCACACAGACGGACACGCACACAGGCGGACACGCACACACACACATGGCCGAACACACGCAAACACGCACATACACACACGCATACACACACCAGAAAACACACATCATATGTATATCTACACGCACACATATATACACACGCACACACACACACACAAAGAACACATTTCAAAAAATGGTGTCGGCCTGCTGCAATAGGTACAGCATAGCAGGGTCATGAGCTGATGTGACACTCGATGCACGTGCACACACACACACGCACACACACACAACGAGGCCAAAAACCAGTGAATCGTGGCCGACCATGCATCGGCATACAAAAGCTACACGAAGAAACCAGGGGCAGAAGTAATTTCCCTGGCAGAAGAACAAGTACAAATTTAGGACTTGGTGACATGGGAGATCTCAAACCCGCACATGAACTGGAGCATCTGCATGAATATGATTAGAACTCGACTCCATTCGGAATAGGGCTTGAAAGTGCTACGTCACAGCATAGCAACAATTTCAAAAATTCAAAAACTGGATCCACTTGGATCCAGTTTTTGTATGGATCCAAGCACATTTCAAGCGGTCTTACTCACAGCAAGGTGATGTAGCCAGTGAAACTGACTGATTTGGCTACTGGGGGCGGGGTGACAACTGGTGGCGAAGTAAAAGTCACACATGTATACGACATGAGTGGGTTGCTATGCACCCACATACTGAGGCAATAGCAAAGTCACACCTTAGTGGATCCGAAATAGAAATCTGTCAAATTACTACTCCCTGGCCGTTTTTGACGTCATCACTTTCAAGCCCTATCTCAGCCCACAACATACAAACTGAGGTGTTTCGCCTTTGGTGGAAACATTTTTTTTTAAGGTTGCTCGAAACATTGCGTACTGAGTAGGAAGTAGTGCTTTCTTGCAGATTAGGTGAGCGGAATGTTCAACGTGCTTTTTCAAGCGCTCAAGACGACAGACACCCAGGTCGGCACGGCCGAACGTAGGGAGCAACCACTTCCCGCCGCACACGGGCAGTGTGAAGACCAATAGGACATCGATTCGGCCTTGCAGGCACGCTTGACGACCGCATCGCAAGCATTGCCCATTCAAATGTGCCGAAAAAATCAGACACTTGAGCATAGCAGACCCATAAATAGCGGTCACCACGCCACGAACAGCCAGACCAAAACAGAAGGACCCATAAAAGGACTTCGGTCATCATATTAGTGCTCGCCTCGGGTCAAACCTAATCGTATAAGGCCAGGCTTCATGAAAGTTGCAAGACTGCATACGTACGCTACGTTCGAACAAACACTCGGAATAGGCCGTGCATGCTTGCCTCGCGCTCTGCAAATAGAAAAGGATGTCCAGGATGTGAGTGATCTCTGGGGAACGTCGACAATGAACTAGCACCGCTAGTCGCTACTGCTACCTCTACATGTACAGCGTAAAAATAACACCACAGCGTGCGGACGAAAGTCTACAAGGCGCAGCCGTTATAAAACTCATACAAACGCATGCGCACACCACACACACATGCGCACACACACGCACACACACTCAGTGATCAACTGCAGTGCTGCTCAATGAAATCCAATCAAGCGAGTCCAGTACGCCATGCCGGGCACTGTGCCGCCCTAGACCTGCTAACACTGGGATATTTGCTGCAACAGGGAGTAGAGCTGACTTCCTGGATCGGATTTCATTGAGCTCGGATCAGCACTGTACAAGGTCCGCTATCATCAAACACAAACGCACACACACATGAGCGCGCACACATACACAGACACACACACACACACACACCATTGGACCATTGGACGCCCATCGCCGGAGGCGATGATAGCGATGCTACAGCAGAAGCCATAGCAACTTGTGCTGGGATTGCACCATTCAACAGCTTGCAACACACATGCACACACACACACACACACACACACACACACACACACACACACACACACACACACACACACACACACACACACACGGCTACCAACGCCAACCTTGCTGCTCCAACATCTACCCCAGGCCTGCGCACGTTTGTGTGGACGTGTGCACGCACTAGCCCCATCCAATACGCTCACCGCCATCACCAAACCTACCAAGCTGGACGGGTATAGACTTCGCGGAAGATATCGTTCCGTCGGCGACATCAAATCAGATTCACGACAAACAAGCGGCGTTGCAATGGACCCATCGGTACCACGCGCACGTCGCACGCCCAGGATCATTTTTCTCGCCTCGCCGTCCACGTGCTGGCGAAGGTAGCGGAGACGGGCGCGCGCATTGTCGCGTTCGTCCCTAGTACCAGGTAAAGAGCTCCGGGGGTCGACTGAACGGCTGCTCATCTCTTGTGCCTGCGTCGAGCGCGGCTGCTGCCTCGCCTTGGCTAACGTTGGCGTAGCAGGCTCCGCAGCAGCCAGCTCCGAAGCAGGCTCACTTTGCTCCTCGCTGGACTCTCCGAACTCGCCTGATTGCATCGGCTGCGACGATCGCCTGCGTTTCCTTCTGATGTCAGTCGCCACCCTGCGTCGCCGTACTAGTGCCCTAGTTGTTGTCGTGCCTGGCGTTGCGGGAGGTGAGAACTCATCGTCCTGTGATTTATGCTGTAGGATGTCAGCCGCTGAGCGCGAGCGCACGGGCGAAGGCATCACCGTGTGTCGTTTGAAGCTGGCTCGCTCCGAGAACGCAGCCTGCAGCGGAGTTTCCCCGTCTGTTGGCGTGGACAAGCCAACAGACTGCATCGTTTGGAGGTGCGATCTCAAACACATAAGCAGGAACAGCTCGCGCCGCGTTTGATCTTGCAGTGCAGCGAGTCGCTCCTGCGAAGCAACGATCGCCTCGTCCACAGTTTCGTCCGACTGGGGCCATGGTGCTGGTGGAGAGGCGTCCGGGAAGGACTCAGCCCAGCGACGATTCCACAGATCGGCATCCATGCCGCCGCTCCGCCAGTGTTGAAGCTAAAAAAATTCAAACCAGTTACCTGCAGGAAGCGCTCATTCGCGTTGTGGATGCGCTCATTCATGCGAGAAAAAACACATGATTGCGACTGGCAGTGGCACTGATTTATTTCAGCTCGTGCAAAAGAAGATCATGGCTATCTGGTGTGTGGTGACTGGTGGGTCTCGCTGTTCGTGGCATGGCCTGCCACTGCAACAAGGGACTCCGGGATTTTTCGACTTCGTCATTGTACAGAATCGTGTATCCGTGTGTTGTTGATGAACTAGTTACTTGAAGCATTCAACTGAACTCAAACAGCATGGCTCAGCGAAGACTTCAGGACCCACCTTCATACACAATCCCTTATACAGCTGACATGTCGTACCCCGACTATGTGTGTACGGTCGTGTAGTCAGTTGATCGAGGTCGAGCAACAATCAAGTACGGAGCACCATGCCATGGCCTCGGCCATGGTTGCCTGGCTGTGCATTGACAATAACATTTTGTGGCTGATTTTCTGATTCGGCCGCATCACTGACAACCAAATCTACCCCATCCTGACGCAGAGAACGACTGTCAGAAAGCAGTCCATCTCAGTGCATGGAAGAGGCCAACAATGACATGGTGATCACCACTTTCACGACCCCAAGGAAACACACAAGACCAACAGCAAGCCACAACGCTGTCAAAAAGACACTTCTGGCCAACCCCATACCACGGCACTTATCCGTCTTCTCAATCGGCTCCAAACTGAAGCACTGGTTCGCAGCGCTGTCTACGCTTCATGCCCCGGGTCAATCAAGTAACCAGTATACAATGTACACAACCCACAACTTGGCCAGGCCACATTGAAATAATTCAGTACTTGAAACGAGCTACGGCCACTGCTGGGTAGCCAAACGGGAAACACAAACAATTGCCACAAGTGACCTATTATACATCCCCGTATGACACAATTTATGACAAGGCCAGAAGTTGTGAAGCGGAACAGCTACTTCAGCCACTCGACACCACATCAATGCACAATGTCCCCGAACAGCCTCATACATACAATATCAACACATACTGATGCGGTGGAAGGCTCGGACAATACTGACATCAACTTACGAAGACATAACCACATTGTTCGACACAACAAGATTCGATCACAACAGACAAATTTGATAAATTTGACTGAGTCATTTCAAGAAGACAGAAAATCAAAGCTCTGGCTTACCTCTGGTGGACAGCAGCCAGCTCCGGGATTACATGCGAGCAAACAAGCACATTACTAACTCAACAACGAGGGACAAATGAACCAAAGTCTGCAATAACATACAGGCTTCGTCTTCTCCACCAAAACTACAAAAATATCTGTTGCTTCGCAATAAAAAATAAAGGGCAAAAGAAAATCTCACAGCTGGCTGACAGCGACTTGGGCAAACGTGAATAGCTTCCGCCGCACAGACAGATCCTACTCGGATTGGGAGACACGAGCAGAAACAAGTACTGAAATGAACAGCCTGGCGCTGCCCGGCAAATAATACTGATCGACCGAAGTAGTAAAGTAACAGTAAAGTGGAAGGTCCGTTTCTTTTTGCGAAGGTCACTTCTTGCCGAACTTCTCGCAAACCACGGAACGAGTCGAGTTGCATGCGTGTGTTCCGCGATACTGAACCCGTCGACACGAGCACGTGCGCTTGGTCTACCGTACGCGTACGCATACCGTACCTACTCTTTTTCTCGTCAAATAAGCAAAATCCGCGAAAAACAAGCAAGTGGCGCGAAATTTGAAACCACAATCTACACACGTACATTTTCACGCAAGCTTGCAAGGAAGTCAAGTCGTTGAAGACGTCGGATATTTCCGTCTCGAGGAAGGGGGCCCCCGGGGGTAGACCTACGTTGTATTTGTGCATGTACATGTATAATATGTACACAGTACAGGCAGTGTAGATGCGCATTTACCAGATAACATTCTTTGCTCCGAGTTTGTTGGTTCTACACAGTCACCTCACGGTCCTGCCAGAATGAAAAGTCTCCTTCGAACTGGTAGTGGTCAGGCTGCGTTCCGAACTTCGTGTTTAGCTACTGACTGGTAGACTACTGAGTAGAGTAGAGTCATTCTACTGATAGAGGTGAGGTCAGTGAGGCAAGAGTACATAAACCAGTAGAGGTTGTGCACGAACGCTGTCTTACCGGATTAAAAAGTAGGTTTTCACGATGTATTCGTATAGTACCTGAAATGTTTTCTTCTCTTTGAAGTTGTGTACAACTCCTTGATCTTGCCGGACATCCCGTAGACCTCTACCAACTTTTGTTACTTCTACCGACCTCTCGTACTCGTACCAGCTTTTTTCTGGTGGAGCTGGTACGTAGAGAAAGGGTAAAATCTCGATCTACATGTAGGGCTGTGTTTACATCAGGGAGTAGTACAATACCACTACTACTCCCTGGTTTACATGAAGCGTTTCAACCCGGGTTGAGTTCGACCCGGGTCAGATTTCAACCCGCCATGTGCACAAAGTGAATGGCGCGTTTACATGACGCATTGCGCTTGACCCGGGTTGAAATTTCGCCCCGGGTTGATTTCAACCCTCCCCCCCCCCCCCCGAGGCCAGGGGAGGGTTGAAATCAACCCGGGTCAAGAAAATCGTACAAACGTACTTCTGTGCGTATCTCGCGCCAGGTTTGAACAGCACTGCATCCCACTGGGGACAAACAAAAGTAGCGTCGTCTCCAGCGAACCAGTTGTCAGTGGCAACATAATTATAGGGATCGTGTACATTTCTTCGTTTCTTCTTTGCTGTTTTCAGTGAATGTTTTGTTTTCTCTTTGTCCTTGATCTCGACGGTGTTGTCGTGCTCATTACCTTACTGAGACGTCTCTTGTGACTGTAGCCAGTGTCACGGAGGATTTTATTGGTGTGACGAGGTAGATCGTCGAGATCGAGCGTGAAAAACGCTCTGCATTAGTAGCTCCTGTAGAATGTCTTCTGGGATGGCGTATCCATGGTCAACAAAGCCAAGGTGCAAGACAGCATAAGAGATCGTGTAAACGATGTGAACTCCAAAAGGTAAGCTCCTGAACAAGTGGAAAGATATGTGTATTTACAAGCTCTCTCTTCATCCATCGATTGCCGCTATGCATTGCATTTTGTCTTCACAGATAATCTGGACAAATAAATTATATTGTAACTGGAGAGTGCAATCGTGCTTGGGACCCATCCCAATGTCATCACATGGCTTTGGTGACTAGTGTATACCTGTACCTGGGAGAGGTTTTCCTCAACTGACACGGAGTGTAGGTGGATGGATTATGAGAAATGCGAAGATGTGGAGTAAGTTGTGTCGAAGAAATGTGTAATATTAAAAATAAAATTTACTTTACACTCAAACATACACTGTACATGTACATGTAACATCATGATAATGATTCCATCTTCATATCTCCGCAACAGGTACGCCATGCGCACCGAATACATGGTGTGTGTGTGCACGCACGCGCTTGCGTGCGCGCGTACATGCACATACTCTCATGCGTGGCCGAGTTGGCCGGATGAACAGACCACGCATTTGCACAAGGTGTCCGTCATGTCATTGGAATGCTCTACTTTATGACTTTATTCCAAAAGAGTATGTCTTGCCCCTGTCAAATGGAGTTTGTGTCTATGCTCAGCGGGTATCGGGCCACGACGCCACACTGCAGTCAGCGCTGGAATTAAAATAGCACTTCATGGATTATTTTAACTAATTTCCTTTGCGTTTACATGTACTTTGTTGAGCCCGTGGTTTCATTTCTGTGTTCTGTTATGATTGGCCTCTGGAAATAATCGGAGTGGATGTCATTTTTGTCATGTGTGTGCCTTGTGCAACAGGTTCAAGGCTAGATGCACTTCACATTCGGTGTGCGATCTCGGCGTCTGGGACCTGATAACGCCTTGGTTGGATGGGTAATCAAGGATGATACTACTCGGCACACCAATGTACATGTCAATGTAATTTTTACTTTTTCAAAGCTGCACTATTTACGGACGAATGTGTCTGTTAGAGAGGAAATAAATAGTATTCACAAACAAGTCCCACTTATTGTTTCTGTTCGTAAAAGGAAATTGCAATTTTTTGGTCATATTGTTCGTTCCGGCTGTTTGTCATTGACTGTTCTTCAGGGTTGTGTTGCTGGAGGTCGTGGCCGAGGCAGGCCCAGAATGTCATGGCTTGATAATATTATTTCATGGACTGCACTTGACGTGCAGTCCCTTGCTCGCTGCTGCACGCGATCGATTTTTATGGCGCTCGCTTCAAGCCTTGGTCATACTTGCTCTGTGACGCCCGACGGCCTTAGGGCTATGGGCTTGTGATGATGACTATTTACGTCTTGATGCTTACTTCGGTGCTAGCGTGTTTCCCCCGGATTATTTCTATCATCATGCGTGTTCTTGGGCTGAGCGAGCACATGCACGAGTGCAGCTATAACCCCGTGTATCTTTGGTTACACTTTGTTCTGCAATGCATGTACCTTGTAACAGTATGTGCTTGCACTGCTTTGTGTGGCCTGCGTATTTCAGGACTATTCAGTGCATTAGACCCAGGTTGGTTTGGTTGCCGGATGATCTCTTGTTGCGTCGCTCTGTGTTTTGTATTCATCAATTTTTGGGCTTGAGAATTGAGCTGGTGTGTGGTTCCCAATATCAAAACATCATGCTGGTGCTCTGTGTTTCGATTATCGACTGTCCGAGCAGTCACGATTCATTACCAGAACGGTCAATACTGTAGTCTCTTGACGTGTTTGTCTTTTTGTGTTTTCGCCGGGGGAATTAGCGGTGACGTTGCACATAGAACGACAGTGTTGCATCACTGGACGACCCTGCCTCTGCATCTGACTTCATGTCCCCAGGATCTGGTGCAGACACACCAGACAATCACTTCCTGTAAACACGCAAACAGCAAAAGAAGAGATCCCGCAAATCAGGAAAAACCGTTGTGGAAAATATCGAGTAGATCATACACCATTCAATAATCTAGAGTAATTACAGTGAGACAAACACTTCAGTGCTCTCTCTCTCTCTCTCTCTGTCTCGATCCTTCCAAAATACCCTGTAACAATTCCCTAGAATTATTTTATTTTATATTCTCAGGACATCATTCTGAACATAATAACTTCTTCCATGGGTCTTCAATCACCACGGAGGGCGAGAATATATCTAAGTCATGCAGTTTACGGGAGGTGCGAGCTGTCATGGATATAGAGGCTGATATCATTGTGCCAGTGTGAGGGCAGAGACAGAAAGAAGACACTGATTTCTTGAACAACTCACCTACATATAATCGAATCCACAGGGAGCGCTCGTACTTTAATCCATCAGGACGCGAAGAATCTTCAAAGCACTCTCAAACACGGAGTTTTACAGTGGGCAGCCAATTTCACAGCCATTATGAAGGCCCTCGACGACTACAGGAGATTTGCAGAGGAAAGAACAAGGAGTAAAGAGCGACAACAATCGCTTGAAGAAAAAGCAAAGAAAAACTGCTCTCTCTCCAGTCATTTAGATGCTGTTGCCTTTGACAACTGGTTCCATCCAGAGGACGCGACTTTTGTTTGTCCCCAGTGCTCTCCGTTGCTATGCGTATCGAAGGGGCCGTGACGTCACACTTAACAGCCCCATAGGCGCTAGGTTTTTGGTTGGCAAGGCTACATAACAGAACAGTCACGGGATGTGAACACGCGGCGCGCGCTGCGTATACACCTTTTTTACTGCCACTGTATAAATCATACGTAATGACTGATAGAATGCTACACCTGTGAAGTAAAAGAAAAAAAGGCCCAACCCTGCCCTGCCAGCTATTTGGGCTTACGGGGGTCGCCATGGCAAATAATAATATTAAAGAACTAAAGACTATAAAATTAATGACAGGAAGTGCCAGCTTCGGCAGCAACTAGGCAGGCAGAAGAAGAGACAGGTGCATGTACAGCGAAAACAGAGCGGCTACCACGCAGGCACATGACACTCGCTCTGAGCAACGCAAAGCTAAGGCGGCAGCGGATGAATGACATAACAACCGAATACGGTTCGCCGCTTTTCTCAGCAATGAGAGATGCAATTCGCTTGTAAAGCGAGGCAGATTGCTTGCCCATGCCACCGGTTGTCGAGAAGACCAACGGGACAAATGAAGCATGCTCGATCTCCCGCAGCCTCTCTTCATACGATCTCTTCTTCGCTTTCTCATGGCGAACGTAGGTGGCAGAAATGGAGGAGGATTGGTTCGAAGACGCAAAAGGGTTGAACACCCGGACGTCGAAGAAGGTGCGTTCGAACCGCCCTCCCCACACTCCATTTGCTGCTACGTCCAAGCGAGCCTTGTCGTCGCGGATGGCGGTGCGATAGCGCAGCTGCTCCCCACTCAGGGGCTCCAGATGAGGCTCTACAGATACGTTGGTGGCAACACGCTTCAAGAAACCAGCGGTCACATCGCGGATCTCGTTATGCCTGATGGTAGGGTAACCGCCGGTGGGGCACGAGGACTGTAGAAGTGGACTTTTGGCGGCATATCAGTATTTGACCCGGGTCAACTGTCTTCATGTAAACGCTCACCTCTTTTGTCTATCGTACAGACTTTCAACCCGGGCTGAACTCGACCCGGGTTGAAATTTCTCATGTAAACACAGCCTAGGGCGCGTTTGGTTGGTACCTACTAGAACTTTTGAGTAGAGAAAACGGGACGCATCTAGCGAAAGAAATAGGTTCTACCCAAACCTGTAGATCAAAAACGAACGCCCCCACCCCTCCTGGAAGTGTTTGCCGTCTGTATAGTCAGGAGGTGGTGTTCTCGCCGTCTTCCGAGGGCAAGGGAACTCTTTTCAATCTGACTCATTACTGACGATCCACCACCACAACCCCACCCAGTGCTTTTTCACTACTTAAACCGGGACGCAGTACGGAGGGCTGCCCTTCACACCCATGGCGCAGCTGGGCTATCCGGGGTGGATGCCGATGGGTGGCGAAGAATGACAACTGCGTTTTCCGGTGCCTCGGATGAACCGTGTGTGCTAGCTTGGCTAACCTTGCCCGCCGCATTGCCATGGCTTACGTCCATCCCAGCAGCCCTAGAGGCATTATGCTGCTGCCAGGCTGATCCCGCTGGACAAGAAGCCTGGCGTTAGGCTCATAGGCATTGGGGAGACGGTCCGCAGAATACTCAGGGCCTGCTGGAGAGCCGGGTCAGCCGGGTCACGCGCCCGGCTGGGGAACTGCACGACCTGGCTGAACGAAAAACACCGGGTCCAGTCTGACCCGGTTGAAAAATGTCTCAAACTGACAATGGATTCCTAAATTACCGGTAGTTTACGACTCGCGGACCCCATCTGTTGCAAATCTAGCGCAACCGTACACACTACAGTCTACAAGCGACAGAAACTCGGCTAGGGTCAACTGGGGTCAACTGGTTCGAGCGCGATCTGGCCAGCGCTGCGGCGAGCAGGAAGTCGTCCAGACATTCAAAGTCGATGGGGCAGGCAGTCAAAAACGTAACTACAAGTTACTTTGGCTATAGCTTTTGACACAGTTGCAAGTTTTCAGCCGACTCGTGATTTGGACGATGGAGACCGCAGCGAAGAGAAAAAGAACTCACGCTTTCCAAGACTCTTGGAAGAAAGGTCGACCCTGGCTGAAGCTTGTGAAGACGGCGATGCGGAACTCGCTGTCGACGAGGAATCTGGAGATATCATGGCAACCAAGCTCGACGTTCCTGCCGTCGCCGACTTCAACTACGACAAGGCTATGGCGGCATGGCATTCTGAGGTGACTCGGCGCACTACGACTGCAACGTCAACCTCGTCTGAACGGAGGGACCTGGCCCGCACACCCAGAGCAGCAGCGGCAGCAGCAACGCCAGCAGCAACGCCAGCAGCAGCAACAGCGCCACCAGCAACATCAGCGCCAGCAGCAGCAGCAGCGCCAGCATCAGGAGCAATATCAGCAGCAGCAGTTGCAACTCCATCAGTTCTCCAGTCTGCTGAAGCCTTTCAGCAGATGGTGCAGCAGATGCCAGTCGGCTTGGCCATGCAGGTGATGCAACGACAGCAAGCAGCCACTCCACAAGGTGCTGCAGGAACCCCCCAGTGCTCTATTATGTGAACATGTTCGTCCTGCTACTAGTACTAGCACTAATTAGAAAACAGAATTCCTTTTTTTCAAATAATTATCCAATGGAATTGCTTTGCATTCTTCACGTAATGTCGTTTACCGGTACCTTCTACGTTTGCGGACTTTGATAGTTCGCCTTGTTCTCTAAAATTTCCGATTTCCGGTAATAAATTCGCCTTTCTGTTTTCCTGCGTTTTGAGCAGGCTTTTTGGTTGCTTTTCTGCCGGATGATCTGAGCTGACCCGGCTTGACCCGGCCGGCCTGCATGCGCCAGGTACACTCTGACCGGGCTGTGTGGAATGTCTAGAGCAGGCCCTGATACTGGTCAAGGCCATCCTTGCAGTGACTGGGGACCTTGTGCTGTCTGCCGCGCAGGCACTCTTCAGCTCTGTGCTGGCCAACCGAGTGGGATCGAGGCCGCTATACACATCTGACCATGAACGACACCTTTCACAGTCCGGACGTGGATGGAGTGCTCCTTGCGGACGCCTCCTACGCCTTCAACCGGCTGAACCGCAAAGCCTGCCTCCTGAACATCCCCCATCTCTGCCCGGCACTGGGCCCAGTGGTCATTAATACGTACCGATCCCCCGCTCGTCTCTATGTCGACGGCGAAAGTATTCTATCGTGTGAAGGCACCACCCAGGGTGACCCCATTGCCATGCCTATGTATGCCTTGGGTGTCACCCCGCTTATCGCTGATGTTGCTTCTACCGACGTGGTACAGGAATGGTACGCGGATGATTCTTCAGCTGGCGGCCGCCTATGCCCGCTACGGCGATGGTGGGATGACCTGAATGCAAAAGGGTCGGATTATGGGTACTTCCTGAATGCAACAAAGTCGATCCAAGAGTACATATAAACCCCCGGGGGTTTATAATTATGTACTCTTTGGTCGATCCTGCTCGTGAAACCCGAGGCGTACGAGGAAGCCACTGTGATTTTTGCTGGCACTGGTGTGCGTATTGAGAAGGATGGTTGTCGTCATCTAGGAGCAGCCCTTGGCACACCGTCCTTTGTGGAAGAGTACGTTGCTAATAAGGTCACCGACTGGGTCCAGCAGATTCGTCGTCTGGCTGATTATGCATCGACTCAACCTCAGGCAGCCTACAGTGCCTTCATTCAGGGAGTACATTCTCATCCAGTTGACTTCTTATTATGACTTTGTATGTTATAATTTTCTTGAGCTCCGGTTTTCCCCTTCATTATAACTCAAGCGCAGTTTAGCGTGTATTGGCTTGTGATTTCCTTTCTTCTGTTTGTTTGGCATTTTATCGCTCCACAGGTACCCTCGGTCTCAGGTGCTCTCACATTTGTGCAATTGTTGATTTTGCTCCTGAATTGTCCTCCCTGTTGCTTTGCTACCGTCCTCCTCCTTCCTCCACCTTTTTTTTCTTAATTGGCCTCATTATGGCATTCGCTTCCATGTAATTGGGCTTGCAGCCCGTGTGTACTTGCGAATTCAAATACAAATACACATACATACATCCGCGATGGTCTTTTTGAGGATGCCCCTGCGCTGTTTGGTCGCCTTGAAGACGTGATTCGGGACATCCTCATCCCAGCTCTGACAGGCCACGCGCCACCGTCTTGTTGTTGTTGTAGAAGTTTATTTAACGTCGCACCACAAACAGGCGATTTCGCCTCCTTTGATACATGTGGACGACAGAAGGAATGAGAGAGAGGGGGGGGGGGGGCAGAAGTACGGAGAGAGGAAGGGTAGAAATAAATAAGCAAATCAACCTCAGGGCTACACCAGAGCAAAAACGGAATGGGAACATACTATATACAAAATAGCTTCATACAATACTAGAGCGACGAGCTACCTTAATGTCTGTGGTGCCTCCTTTGCACCATGGCTGGTAGCTCGGCCTATTTAGCTCGTAGCTGTACTGATGAGGCCTTTATGGCCGAAACAGCTTGCTGTCTACAGCATTGGGTACAAAATAGCTTCATACATATAATATTATTGCAAAACACGTTTACTATTCTTCAGTCCGCTATACCACAGAAACACACTAGCCGAAAAGCATTTAAACGGAGCCATGATGCGCTTTTAGCAGGGCACAGAACTGAAGGTGGCTGGGCTCGGAACGGAGATCAGGCGGGAGCTGGTTCCACAGGACTGCGCCGATGAACTGCATGGTCGCTCGACCCGCAGGACCGGGCCAAAATGGTACTCGAACGAGGTGATGTGCTGCTCCCCGAGTGCGGTCACCAGTAACTCTCACGAAAAAGCTGGTGAAGAGGGAGCTAGCTCGGGAGAACAGACAACGACGCACAAAGATGAGGAGCTTAATGTTAAACATGCCCTCCAGGGTGGTGAGGCGGAGCTGTTCAAAGATCGGGCTCGTGCGCGACCACGGTGGCAGACCGAAGAAGCCGCGGATAGCGCACTTCGTTAGACGTGTGAGGGGCTCCATGTTGCCAATTTGAAGTGAGGGATAAAAGGCGTTGGATGCGTACGACAACCTACCCTGGATCATCGACCTGTAAAACAGGATCTTTGACGCCAGGGTGAGGCTTCGGCGGCTCCGCCACAGCGCACCTACTGACTTCCGCACCTGCTGGATTGTGTGATTGACGTGAGGCTCCCAGGAGAGCTGCCCATCTACCATTACGCCCAGGTACCGCGCTTGTTCCACAACTGCAAGGGCTGCATTCCCACAGCGAATTCGAATGTTATCTGTGTCAGGGGCTGGGCCTCTTGGGGTAATCAACAGAGCTTGCGTTTTCTTTTGGTTCAGCATCAGTCCGCGGTCCTCCAACCACTGCGACAGGCCAGTGATTGATTGATTGACTTTATTTTACTTCGCAAGTTCAAACGGGTTCCTGGCCCAGTTATATGAAAGCGAAGGATAGAATTTGCCAAAATCCTAATGAGCAACAGCATAGGCAATATTATCATAGAAGTGGAGTACTATGCGAGCGAGAATACTGAGAAGAAAAGGAACATGTCAAAACCTGACGAAACACAACCTATTCCAGGCATACATAAGGAAGGCAGGCTAGCTTTTTCTTGCGATCTGGATACGGTGCGCACCTCTCTAGGCAAACTGTTCCACAGCAATGCTCCTGCGGTGGCGAATCTCGTTTGGCCACACCGACTGCGAGCTGGCTGGCTAAGCAGACCATTGGCATGCTGATGGCGTGTACTTCTGCCGCTGCATGCTGCTGGTTTGAGAAGCAGGGCTAGAGCAAGGCTAGTGAAGTCATTTAGATACCCCCAGATGAAGATCAGGAGCTTTTGTGATGGCTGTGCTTAGAGAAGAGCACACTTGTTCGCAACTGCCCGAGGCTTCAATTGCAATGTCGTCTGCAAATTCCTGGTTTGTGACCTGCTGGGGCAAGCAGCATCGAAGGTTACGGATGTATAGTGTGAACAGGAGGGGGCCGAGGACGGATCCTTGCGGCACCCCTCGACTGCATGCGACGTATTCCGAGCAATTTCCGCCCACAACTACGCGTTGAAGCCGCTCACTCAGGTAACTAGTGAACCATAGCTGGACAGTATCTCCGGCACAGCCCTGAAATAGTTTCGGGACTATCTGTCTGGGCGCCATCAACGCGTTCGTATGGGCTCCCGACTGGGCAGAACTGTACCGTGCACTTGTGGTGTGCCGCAGGGCTCTGTACTAGGACCCATGCTGTTCTCCATATACACCAGAGATGTCCCCTCTGAATCTGCGCCGGCATCATCACTGCAGTTTGCGGATGACATCGCCTTGACATGTGCAAGACGGACAGCGCAAGAGGTGTCTGATGCGCTCAGCTTGGCGGTTACCTCCCTCTCAAGTTGGCTGGACGCTCGTGGTCTTGTATTAAATGCAAAGAAGAGCAATGTATTGGTTTTTACCAGCAGCAGTGGGCAGCAGCCGGACGTGGTTGTACGCTGTCGAAATGATGTCCTTCCGCACACCACCAGCGCGAAATACCTCGGCGTCTTGATCCATGAACGAATGGCCTGGCAACCGCAAGTTGACCGGTGCATCTCACGCACTGCTAGGAAGATCGGTAGTCTGTGGCGGGCGCGACGCTGCCTCACTCTAGCTAGTCGAAGCAAGTACTTCCTATCTGTCATCATGCCGGATTTGATATATGGATCGTCAGCATATGGCACTGGCTTGACCCACAACCAGCTAAACCGCTTGCAGGTGGCCCAAAACCGCGCAGCAAGGGCGGTGTTCGGACGACCACGCTTTACCAGGGCCAGTGACCTCTTGGAGAGGCTCTCTGTTTATCGCGTGGACGAGGTATATCGCCAGAAACTGCTCGTGCTGGTATGGCGGTGCGTTCATAACCGTGCCAGTCCTGCTCTGCAGGCACTGTTTGTTCGCAACTGCGGAGCAACTGCGGAGCAACTCGCCTTCAGCGCAGTCTGGGCCTGCAACAACCAATAGCCAGAAGCCGAGCAGGCCAATGCCGACCGGCATCTCGCGGTTGCCTGTTATGGAACCATATACCTGACACGGTGCGAGCCATGGGCAACATCCCAGCATTCCGCCGAGCTGCCATTCCCTACACGTTGTAGACTGCTACACAGTTGGTCATACCATGGTATTCAGTACCCACGAACTTTGCAAAGCCGATAATGTGATAATGTACCGTGGTGCATGCACCGATGGTACCACCACTTCGTAGACTGCCTCCCGTTCATTTCTGTGCTCCTGTCTTTATTCTCGTCAGCTGTGTACTTCAGCAGTTCAATTCTGTGCTCCAGTCCTCTTTATTCTCGTGAGCTGTGTACTTGTTTTGCTGTTTGTTTGGTTTATTTGAATTCGCACAGTAACCGTGTACTTCAGCTATTCTCTACTCCCTCTTCTGAATTTGACTCTCCTCCCATCCCCTTACATTGTATTGGGCCTCCGCAGCTCCCCCCCCCCCCCCCCACCACCACCACCCCACACACACACTACATTGTCACATAGCACAACTCAACCATTCGCTACCCTGTTATTGAGCACTCCTGCTCGTTTGGTCTCGCGAATCCA